ACACCCCCTTACTGTGACACATACACACACACATATACATGCACTACTCTAAGAATGTTCAGGACATTGGGCTTTCGGGCATAATTTCAGGATGAGCTTTAAATGAATTTAGTTTGACGTTCTTAGCTTTCAAAAAGATAATCCACCTGTTCAATGTTTCAGTACTTTTTGCACAACTTCCCCGAATAGAAAAATTCACAACAGTTGTTGGATGAAGAGTAAATGCCTGCGAGGATCAACATGCACACATTTACCTCCAAAGCTTCCAAGCTGACAAAGCTGGCAATGGCAAAGCCATCGATGATGTCTTCCTCACACGACACCGACTCCCTCTTCCTGCGACGGGGTGGTCTGTGTCGACCAAAACCAGGCCGGCCCTCTTTCTCACCCGGACCCGGACCGAGGACGCTGTTTGTCCCACGATCCTCCCGATCGGAACCCGACGACAGGGACGTGGCCCGCTCCTCCGCCAGGTTGACTCTCCTGCGCCGCCGCTCCCTGTCGCGCTGGGAACGGGAGCGGCGGCTCTGCCTGGTTCCAGTGCTTCGGCTCGGACCCTCCATGTCCTCCAAGCCTTTTGTCCAACTCAAATGACGCCAAAGGCACTTATTTCAAGTCCCGGTCCGGTGGAAGGTGGCACCTAACCGCAAAGAGATGACACCAGCCCCCCCGGGCCCTCGCTCGGAGCCCCAGTTAAAATGGCGTTAACTGAACCAGTGGATAATACTATTTTCCTTCCTTTGACAACAGTCTATTGGCGTCGGGGCCTTTCTTTCGGCGGAATTTGAGTGTCATTTCAATTATTTTCAACGAGCCACGACGGAAGTGAAGCACAAGTACAACGATCAAGACATCTTCTAAATGGCTAACATTAGCTCGCTAGCAAGGAAAATAAGTCAATAAGCATGTAAACAACGACGACAGCCCTGCTAAGATTGATGACAACGCCCGCTGAACTCTCTCACACGGGTTTAGTGTTGAAAATCAGGCCATCGCCAACTAACATTTCCGTCAACAATTTACCGACAATTTATTTGAGTGCTAGCACAAAAACGACACGGTTAGCTAGATAGGAAGGCCCAGAGGCCAAATAGTGGAACGCAAACACACTGGCTGTCGTGACATTGTAATATTAGGTCAGAACTAAACCAGTCACTCACAAATGTCTAATTTAAAGTCCAAATTTTGCATCTGTTAACGCTATGAACGCGACCACTTGCCAAGCACTCGTTTCGCGTTGACTCCAACACATTAGCATTTGCTAATTCAATAGCACGAACGAGGCTAACTTCGATACATCACAATATATGCAGACAGCAACCTAAGAATAAATACCTATTTTCGCGATAGCGTCCCGCGACTAAACATCCAGACAGTTAACCGCGTGGCCGAAAAATGTTCTCCAGTTGATGTTTCTTTTTTTCAACTGTCGATGAGTTTGACGGTCGATAAATGATGGTTTGAGTTTGTATCCCATCAAAAGAAAGACGTAACGTTAGCACTTCAGCTAGGTTAGCATTAGCCGACCCAGCTGTTAGCTAGCGGGGGTTTATCCTTTTTTCCTCCAAAGGAAACTGGAGGAATGCGAAGCCACTATTGACAATCACTCGTTTAATAACGTCATATTAGTCCTCCGAGCTCAAATATGCTTCCGATCCCCTTCCATCACGTGGAACAATAAATCAAGGCCCGTTCTTGAAAGCCTCGGTGTCGATTTCCATAAACGAGGGTGTCGACCAACCCCCGTCGGGCTGGGCAGCTCCTCTGTGCAGCCTTCACAGTTTAGATCCAATGTTTAGCACAAGTTCAACTGGTCGCCGGCGTCCCCTGCTCGCGATTTAAATTTCCTGGCCAGGTCCAGTGTGCAAAAAACATATGTGGGTTGGGGGCAGCCAGCGTCCTCCACCGTTTCCTTTTCACGCGTTTCCTCGGAATAGTAAATGTATCTTGGACATCGGGGAGACGCAACCCTTTTCAGCCGTGCAGTGCATTGTGTGCGCAAGTCTTCTTCCTCCGTACGGCGGGTGCTTGATGCCACCTCCGTTTGTTCATACTGCCGCCTTGTGGGAGCTGGCGAAATGGAGGACATGTGCAAATAACCCATGGACAAAATACAGAAACGTACACTTAAATAATACTTAAATGACATGAACAAAATGAAATCGTACCTCTACTAAGTTGGACTTCCCATGTTTCCCTTCTTTTACCCTCCTGGCGTTTCCGCTCTTAATATGATATGCAGCACTCACAGGCAACAATGAGGCACTCTAAAGCAGCAATCCCAGAGCAGAGACCCGGTCTCCACACACTGGCTGTCAAGTCTCATATTTTTTCTCCTTTTCCCTTCCCAACACTTCCGCTTTTCTTAACGTGACGCGCATACACTCACAGTAGACAATGAAGCGGAGCCTTTCCAGCAGTCTACTGTGCACTCCATTGTCATCACATCATTGGCATCATCTTCTGTGCCATAAAAAGTCAATTAGGTCAACTTGTTGCACATTTGTTGTCCTCAGTTTGTACTAGCTGGACTTTGATTGAGACATTTGTCTTTTTTTATTCCCTTGAAGGAACTCTTTATCTTTAAACTAGCAGTCGACAAAGTCGTGTGACTGTTGAGCCCATCTGAAATACAGCTTTGAAGTGACTTGCACTGCTTGGTGTGATCAACCCACAGCCTGTTGCAGTCTTCAGCATGGTGCTCTAGTTCTGTTCCATCCATTATTGCAGTTTCCGCAGATATGGCTGATACATCTAGCAATCTGGTGGAGGACTCGGTAAGCTTGTCCTCTGTCCGGCGGCATTTTTTTAATTTTTTTGTAGCTTCCAACCAACACCATCTCTGTCCTTGATTGGTGTTTATTGCGAAACCTGCAAACCCCTCCTCTTCAAAAGAAAATGCAAAACGTCTAATATCACCTTTAATATTTCTTGGAGCCTATCTTAACTCTTGCTGCCAGTTTTTGTTGTTTATACATCACCATTATTAAGTTGACAGAGCAGGTATGTCGTTTACAGCACGGCTGTCACTATCAAATATGTATTTTTGTTATTGTTTCAACAATTAAGTAATATCACACGAAAGGGATAGCGTCACACTCACCAATGCACTTTCAGCTATTTATTGAACAGGACAAGCAGCCAAACAGACACAAAATGAAAACACTTGCAAAGAGCATGGACCAGACATTAGTTCAGTCAGTGATTAAAGTCAAGTGAAAAAAAAAATGAGGGCCACACGAATAGATGTACTTTCAGCTTCACTTTATTCAACAAGTCAAGCAGCCTAACACTTAAATGCAAAATGACAACCCTCGCAAGGAGCACCTCCATTGAAAATGGCCAACTGAACCTGGAGTCAGATGTTAAAGCATGAATACTTGAACTGGCCCTTGAGCACAAAAGTTTGCCCACCCCGCCCTGTTGTGCATTTCATTTGCCCAGTTCAAACTTCAGAGTGTCATGTGGGCCTGGTAGAGGCAAGCAACGTGTGCAACAGGATACCGGTGGCCACAGACACATTGAGTGACTCTACGCCAGGTAGAAGTTGTCTCCCGGCTGGAATGGTAACAAGCGTCTGACACAAAGCTAAAAGCTTCCGGGACAATCCCTCACCCTCCCCTCCAATCAGCAGCAGCGTGGGCATGGTCAAGCGAAAGTCCGAACATGGCATGATGGGAACGCTCTCAGATTCCGGCGCCTCGGCCCCCACTGTGCCGACCACTTGCCAGCCTCGTGCCGCCTTGACCTTGACCATGTCCTCCAGGTCTTCGTACCCGTACACGCCCATCACCTCCATGATGCCGGCACTGGCCTTGCTGACCACCGGCGTCAAAGGGCAGCTGTGCCGGACGCTGCTGGCCACCCGGTCCACGCCGAGGAAATACGCAGAGCGCAAGATGGCCCCGAGATTCATCGGGTCTTGAATCCCATCCAGGACAAGCCAGAGAGGCGTGGACTTTGAACTCTGGGCTGAGTCTTCGGTCAGGTAGCTCAGCGGAGTGGCTCGCAGACAAACTCCTTGATGAACCCGACTTAAAACCATCCGATCCAGGTCTTTCTTATTGACCCGCTGGATGGGAACTCGTCGCTGGTGAGCTTCCTCACAAACCTTGAGAAGCGATGACCTGTTCGAGATGTCACCGTCTTTCACAAACAGCTTCAAGGCCTTCCGGCGAGCCTGGGTGAGAGCCAGGAGACAAGGAGCGACCCCAAAGACAATCTCATGCTGGTCTAAAGACTCCAAGGATGGTTTGAGTCTTGTAGTCCTCTCTCTGTCTGATAAGTCCTCCAGAGCCAGCTTCTGAAGCTCTGATGACATTCGTCTTGGATTCTGAAGTTTATTTGGTGATGCTTTCTGATCCGGGTACCTTCCTCCTGACAGTTTAGATTTGCTGGATCTCCTGGTGTTATTCACTCTGTTGTCCTCATGGTAAGCAAAATGGGAGTCCAGAGCCCAGCTAAATTTCCACGTCCTAAAAAACAGCAGCCTGTGCTTAGAAGCATAATTGAATAACCTCATACTGGGGCTTTCAGTCGAGCCTTTTAAGCCGCAAAGAATCAGTCAAATATCGAGACATTTTAATTCCATACTGATCAGAATCCTAAATATCAGCTCGCAAACGCTTAACTGCTTTTGAAGACCAGTACGCGGACTGACAAAACCAATACTGAATTAACCACGTTGGTTTGTAAGGTCGCGGTACAATTGAGCTCAAGACAGGATAACGAGCGTTTGCACTACAAAAATAACAGTGCAACAGTCAAAATATTGCATCACAGTCGTAATTTGGTGATTAATATTGTACAAGCATTTTTTGGAGTTTTATTAAATAAACTATATCTTCCCAACAAAACAAACTATATGCTACTTTGACCACTTCTAATGTTCACATAATCCTTATTTTGAAATGTGTTCATGGTTGTCATATTTACTTCCTGTATTTGTTTCAATTTCGTGCACGTGACCGATACGGCTGGCGTCACTTGTGACGTTGTCGATGAAATCACTAACCGGAAGTAAAACTAAGGCAACGCGGAAGTGTGTGGAGGAAAACAAAACTCGTCGTTTGAGAAGATCGTTTGTGAGGAAATCTTAATAAACGTCGTTTGTCGTTTGGATTTTTGTGCTGGGTCGACCAGAGAGCATCAAGGTGAGCTGAGAGACTTTGTGACGGCTAACGCAAGTAGTGGAGGTGGAGGGGAAGTGTTGGTGAGGTAATGACGGCTCCAAAAAGACGTCATGTCGGCAGCCAAGAAATGAACAGGCCTTAAGCCACTTAGTTGACTACAACGCTAAACTGGGGTACCATTAATGTAGTGTTTGAATTTGGCACAAACTGTCAGTTGACGAGGTAAGTTTTTACAATTATATACACTCTGAAGTAGCATCACCCGTATACCCTCTCTCGTTATTTCTAAAATGTAAACATGTAATTACGAGCAATATACAGGGACAATACTTGTTTGGATGTTCTCCAATCTAATAAGCTAAGGCACACATTTTCCATATGAAGAAATGTCGCAAAAATGTGGATACACGGGTTGGTTATGTACCTTCAGTGTAAGAGCGTACAATTGTTCTCCTTGTCGCTGACCTAAATAAATTAGTTTTCATATGTGGAGGTTGAAAAAGATTGACAATCTTATTTTGACAAACTGTTTTTCAATTGTAGTGAGTAAAAGTAAATAAGTCATCAGACTAGTGAATAGTCAAGAAATACCCAGAACTGAAAAAATACTTAAGTACATTAGCAAAGTATTTGTATTTGGAATCCCGGCTACAACATGTTCACCCCATTCTTGCATCGGGTTTTCCTTTCACATCCCAAAAACAGGCTTGTTAGGTGAATTGAAGACTAAATTGTAGGTGGCTGGCAACCAGTCCATTGTGTACTCCACCTCTTGCCGAAAGTCAACCTGGCACCAAACCCGCGAGTGTGTTGAGGATAAGCAGTATAGAACATGTATGAATGTTCCTGTATCATCAGTTTTTCCCCCTCTGTGCTTCCAAACAGATGGAATTCCTTTTTGGGAAGAGAAAGACTCCGGAGGAGATGCTGAGGCAGAACCAGAGGGCGCTCAACCGGGCCATGAGGGATCTGGACAGAGAGCGAACAAAACTGGAGCAGCAGGAGAAGAAGATCATCGCTGACATCAAGAAAATGGCCAAACAGGGACAAATGGTGCATAAAGTCTTCTTGTGAAACAAACAAACACAAAAGATCAAATTCTGAACATGTGACTGAAATGTGTGCAGGATGCCGTCAAGATCATGGCCAAAGACTTGGTACGCTCCAGACGCTACGTGAAGAAGTTCATCATGATGAGAGCCAACATTCAGGCCGTCAGTCTGAAGATTCAGACGCTCAAGTCCAACAACAGCATGGCGCAAGCCATGAAGGGCGTCACCAAAGCCATGGCTACAATGAACAGACAGGTCCGCCTCAGTCATGTCAAACACACTCGAAGTCTTGTTTGGTAGAATTTTGAGAAGTTGTTGTCATGGGCGCAATTTAAAATGTTTAATAAGTTAAATCCAATTGAAGTAGATAAATAGTCGCCTAACATATAAGACCAAAACTGTGATATTGTTTATTGTAATACAGATTCACCTCTCACTTTTCTTTGTAAAATAAAAAAATACATGGGAAGAGTACCATGAAAAAATGATTACATATTCAATCGCAATATCAAGGGGGTGGGGAGTAGGATGCAATCTGCTTATTTTTCAAAATCATTTTAGCCCCTTTCATCAAAAGCACAAAATTGACAGCAGTGCATATCTGCGTGTTCCTCCACAGCTCAAACTGCCTCAGATTCAGAAGATCATGATGGAATTTGAGCGGCAGAGTGAGATTATGGACATGAAGGAGGAGATGATGAACGACGCCATCGATGACGCCCTTGGGGACGAAGATGACGAGGACGAAAGGTGAGCCGCGACAGCATGGTTTGAGTTGAAGCATCCTCAGCTATCGCTCCTCTTTGACACATTCAAGATGACGGTGGCATTGATGTATGATTCTGCAACAATATATTTTTCAAGTCTGTGCCGTGTGTGCTGACTTTTTGCTTGATCTTTCTCACAGTGACGCCATTGTGTCCCAAGTCCTGGATGAGCTGGGTCTTAATCTTAGTGATGAACTCTCCAGTAAGAACAAAACAATGCCAAGGGTTACCATTGCTATCTTAACTTTTTTTTTTTTTTTAAACACTCTTAATGTAGACAAAAAATGACTCATTTGGAGATAAGTTAACATTTCATAGAAAAAATATCAGTGTTTGGATTGTAAATTGTCCACTGTGTTCCTTCCAGACCTCCCAGCTACTGGTGGAAGCTTGTCAGTGGCCGCTGGGAAAAAAGCGGAGCCTCAAGCCACCTTAGCCGATGCGGACGCCGACCTGGAGGCACGGTTAAATAACCTCCGCAAAGACTGAATGCAAAACACATGCTGACTTCTTGGAACGTCTTGCCATGACGGTGGTTGGCTTTTTCTTTCTGCGGTGTTTCATTTGATGTGGGTATGTTATATCAAAATACAAATTATCCTTGATGGGGACCTGAAACGTCCCGTCTCATTTATGACAATGCCAAAAGACAAATCCACTGACAGCGTGTCCATGCTTACTTTTTGTTGCTTTTAAATTAACACTGACTAATAACCCAAGTTATAGAACAATTTCTTTAGATATGTGATCAGTGCAGAGCTGTTGAATCTATTATCTAAACATTTTGTTTTGTCCACAAAAAGGGTGGCTCATTTTACGAACTTAAAAATAGACCCTTGGTGGGCTGATATCAACCCAAAACCTGTTTATAGTTTTTACACCAAGAGATGGAATGGTGTTCATTTTTTGTTGTTGAATAATAAACCTTTTTCCACATTTAACAAAGGCTGTTTCGGTTAATGCGAGAGAAGATAATTTTGGTGTGAAAATTCCAAACAGCCTCAGTTATGCTATTTTAGAAATTCAAAAGTTGCTGACTTCCCTATAAAGAGCAAAACAACTCAGGATAACAATGACAAAATGAAAAGTCAACCTCGCAGTGTGGTGATGGGGGGAAAAAAAAAAGATCTAAATCCAACCCCGCAAGAGAGAGAAATGGTTATTTTATTCCAAAAAGAAAATGCAACTTTCAATTTGTCAACAATCATTGAATTTTGAATGTACACAACACGTTCCAACATTAAATAATAAAAAAATAACAGCCATGTTTTATGTACACTGTGAAAGCTATGTACAGACGAAGCTTCCGGACCTAGCCAACATCTATTCCACTTGTTACAGTATAGCGGTTGAAGCTGTTGCCTCGTGAAGGAAAACAAACCAAATCAAATTTACTGCGGAGGGGAGAGAAACTGCGGAGGGGAGAGAATGGCAGCATGTCGTTAGAACTACAAGCTAGGAACGTTTCCGTCGAAAATGGATTCCCCGATGTTGGCTTCCTGCTCCTGGAAGAGGTCAATGTATACACATTCACTATTTGTGTGCGTGTCAATATTTTCCGACACTCTGGACACTTTGCAGCCAAAAGTCATGCTTGCATCCTTTTTATTTTGCTTAAGAGCAGATAAGATCCATCGAGGGGTTAAGCCATGCTACCGTTGTTTCCGATGTCTTTTACAGCAAAATGGAACCCATGCAATTCACATGTTAACGACTCACAAAAAAAGGGATTTGGGGGTGAAATTTCAGGTTGGAACTTAACCTGTACACGTGCACTTCATTTATGAACTCTATAAACTTTTGATTGAAGGTGTCTCAGAACTTTTTGCACAGAAGTCACAAAGGGGCATAGAAGTGGAACCGAAAGCCCACTTTCCCTTACTTTTTGTGAGTAGTGTAAAAGTAAAAACTAAACTGAGGAAACAGAACATTCAGGTTCAAGCCAACATTAGGACCCGTCTAGTTTTTTTTCTTCCCCCAACAGAGAAAACAGATTCAGGCTTTTTTTTTTTCCTCAACAGACCTTCACTGTGTGTGAAGAGTGCAATGCTCCATAGATGGATGGTTGAGCGACAGATACACAGCACCACAGTAAAGTTGGAACATTTCTTTCCTAAAGCAGTCGCAAAATGTAAAGGTGTCCAAGGAGCTCTGACGCAAACCGTATTTTTCTTTTTTTAATCGGTGTCAGCTGAGTGCAGTAACAGTGAAGGTATTCGAAGATGGGAACGCAGCTACCACGTCACGCCGCGTGATGAGTGATATGTTTGACATGTCTTTCTCTTCCGCAAAGAAAAGCAACAGCAGTTACACAATTGGTGACTTGACCGTATCGAACTAAATGGCGGCGTCTCCCACTCGGCGACATTCACTTGCGACAGGTCCGGTGAGGAGTATGTTTCTTGGGCACCTCGATGCGGCAGCGGCTGCGCTCATCCAGCCAAGGCAGCTCAAAATTCCTGGAGGGGAGAAAAAATAATATTTTTAAGAACCAGTAGTGATAAAACGACTCATGGCTATTTACTAATTTTTGGACTTGAGACTTGCTTGGTTAAAATTTTATGGTAAGTGACTCAAGGTAATGTTCACATTTCATCTCAAAACAAGTAACAACATGGACTGATGAAAAGCACTTATAAAATGTTCAAACTTACTCTTGTGTAAGTTTGGGCAACGGCCGACCAAACGCAACCACTGGCAAGAAGGGTGTGATCATAATCGCTTCGACTAGAAGGAAAAAAAAAAAAAAGTATTAAATAAATGTATCTTGACCAAAATATTGTCTATTTTTTGCAATGCTACAAAAGGTAGTAAATTTAAGGAGGGCACAAGGGTTGACGATGAGCTACCGTCTTCAGTTTCTGGATAGAATGATGAAAGTTCAGGCTCAGTCTCCAGTATGATCTTCTTCCTGTTCATGCGCTGCTGCAGGCGCTGGAACATGCGCTGCTCTCGGATCCGTTGGATGTCCCACCTGTATGCAGGAATCAAGAGGAACCCCGTGAGGCTGACATTTGAAGCTTCCAATAAAGGGGCATCCAAATCTTTTCTTCTGAGTCTTAAAATCAAACGGACCACTTATTGACGCCCTTGATGTAATACCACCCCCCCCAAAAAAAATATGACAATGCTGTCACCTCTTCCTCCTCTTCTCATCCAGTTCCAGCTTGGCGTGGCGTTTGAGAAACACACCGTCGTCCAGCGGCTGGACGAAGAAGACGGGCGGATTGACTTTTGCCACTTTTTTTTTGCCACTTCAATTCCGATCTTTGCGACGTTCTCACCTCCTGTGCGTCAAAGCTTAAATCCTCACCCAACGGCTCGATGACATTTTCCCGCCATGACGGAACTGAGAGTCGGCACGAAGACGGGAAAAGGAAGTTCATCATGGAGTGTGTGCTGGATGCATCTGAAGGACATAGAGGTGGTGGAAGGTACGGTTCACACACACACACACACACACACAAAAAAAATAAAATAATCTGCATAATCAGAGAGTACACGATGAGTCCACTCACTGGCCACCTCCTCCTCTTCCTCCTTCTTGGGAGAAGTATCGCGCAGCGGCGACACGGGAGGTTGGTTCCAGCAGCACAAGTACATCTCCGTGGTGGACAGGAAGGGGAGGTCGTCCATCTGGCAGCTCAACTCCGCCGCCTCCTCTTCTTTTCCCCTGGCCGGAGCGCTCCTCTCCGGCGTCTCCTTGCTGCGCAGCTCGCGCTGAGACGGAGACGCCGGTTGACTCTCCGGCTTGTGGGGACTCAGCTTGGCGCTTTTGCCACGAGACTTCTGGAGTTTGGAGTCCCCAAAGCAGGATTTTCTGTTGGGCACATGTATCAATTTGGGAATTACGTCAAGGAAAAATTTAAAATGTTCAAAACTGGAAATCACTGATTTTACTCATTCTCAATGCAACATGATGGTTTTTTTTTTGCATTTTCCTAATGTCCCATTTTACATTTCCCCTAACCAAATTGCGTTTCAGACTTCACCTCTTTTGCCCTTTGCTGCCTCGACTTAAGGGTAGCAGGGTAGATGGATTGGGCTGAGGGCTCTCCTCTACTTCTAGGTCCCACATGTCCTCCTTGTCGGGGGTCCAAGGCTCCAGCGGCTGGAAGAGGCGCTTGTCACGTGGCGGGTCCTTTTTGGTGAGCTGCAGGCGGCGTTCCATGCGCTCAATACGTGCCAGAAGCTACACAAGTGGATGCAAGGTCTCATTGCTTCGGAGTGACGTATAACTTGCGATAAGTCATATTTGGAAAACATTGGCAGTTTATTGCTGGCAGTCAATGGAAAATCCTGTTGACTGAGAGATTTACCTTCAAATAATGAAGACTCAATGCTATGTATTTTCCTAATCTGTGAAATTGGATTTTATTCCTCAACACTTTTTATCATGTGTCTTCATTTTTTTTTTTATATCATCACCCAGTCCTATGCAAGAACTCATTGCCAGTCAGCGGTATGAAACCGTTGAATGACTATGCTGTCAAGTTAAAAAAAAAAGGTACATGTCAGTATATTAAAAAATCCCATTTGTTTTCCATACCGTCTCCTTGTCTGCTTTGAGATCATCGATCTCTTTGTCCTTGGACTGCAGCTGCTGCTGCTGTTGCTCGATGAGGTCCAGCTGCAGCAGCAGGATCTGCCGCAAACAGTTGGCCTGCGTGTGAGGGTTGGCCGGGCTCTTCCGAAGGTTCTTCCACTTGCCCTCGGACGACACTTCGATTGACGCGGCGCCGAGAACGCCATCGGCATCCTTGGGCGTGTTGTTGTTCGGCGCCATCTGAGGGTTTTCCATGCTGTCCATGGAGAGGGGTTTGCCTTTCACCGGGGTTCCCTCACCCCCCATTTGTCTGACAGGGGACAGAACCCCCAGAGCGGCGGCCCGATCTACTTCGACGACTTCCGAGACGTTGCCGCTCATGTAAGTCTGTTCCGAGCGCTTGGACCTGCTCGGGATCTTTCCGGCCCAGCGGAAATCGCCTGGAGCATCCGAGGGCGAGTCACGTGACTCCCTCCTGAGGCTCACGGGAAACAAAGACAACGTCCCACCTATGGCGTTAGCGTTTGCCTTGGATCCCAGATGCGGGCCTGGGGAGGCTCTCATGCTCATGGCGACTGTTCATGGTGTGAACGTGGCTAGCTGCCCCCTGCAAAGTGCACACAAACCAAGTTTATTCCACTCACGTATAAAGTTTAGAAGTATCTACCTCTGCTTATTTTTACCAGGTTCAATCAAGTAACAATTGTCTTTTGTAACCAAGAACGTCTGAATGTGTCCAGGATGGTTCTTGCCTCTTACCCAAAGTCAACAGGGTAGGCTCCAGCTCACATGTGACTCAAGTGAGGTAAGATGTACAAGAAAACGGATGCACAGACCCTTTACGGCCATCTTGGGGCCAGGGCACTATGCTGAAGTGTGCAGAGCAGCTTCATTTAGTTAGGCCATGGCATCGTCTAATAGAAGAATCTGCAGTTCCACACACACACACACAAAATTCTCTTCTACCTTCTCCTTTTCAGGCTCGGTCATAAATTTGATTGGAATATTGTGTTTTGGTTGCCTTGCTTATGTTTACCGCTACCTGAAATAAATGAAATGGGGGGGAAAATCTGCGTGAACAGGGAATTACAAACCCTTTACGGTGGACGTCATTCGCAATCTCCTGGTCCTGTATCTTAAATATGCATCACACCCTGTCGTTTTGGAAACAGTCTTTTTCCAGGGTTTTCTTTGAAAAATAAAACGTCGAAAGTACAATAAAATACATCAAAATAAGCATACGCACCTGTGCGAATGAACGGAAACTACCACTCCTGCCTCAATTTGATCCAGGAAAAACCCTGCAGACACAAACGTTAAGACACGGTTTTGTTTGTGACTCTCGCTTACGGCCGTGTCGTGTCTTGTCCGAACAAATACACTCGCCGTTATGTTGTTACTTTACGTCAAGTCTGCGTTACCTTTCCTTTTCATACGAGTCACACGCCGGGGTTTGAAATTGCAAGCTAAGCTATACAAGCGCACACGCCACACAAACACGCAAAAACTACAGTACTTTCGCGACTTACTTCTCACGTTAGCAACGATTTAGCCGGAGTGTGCAGAGGTTCAAGGACCCGGGAGTGGCAGTGAAGCAACCTCCATTTTAGCTCCTCCATTTTAGCTTGCCGTGATTAAAAAAAAAAAAAAAAAAAAAAAAAAAAACAATAACAGCTACCTAGCTCCAGTGGATAGCCTGCTAGCTTAGCACACACAAAAACCCGCGGTCAAAGCGTCGCCGCCGCAATGATCGCAGCTAAACACTCAAATTCCTTACACGCATGTTTTCAAACACCCACCATGTCTGCTTGTGAGCTTACCCGGGCTATAATTGAAGTCCACCAACAATGCTCGTCATGTTCCCTGTTCAAGTATTGTAAAGCACTCTCTTCTGCGCATGCGCGGGGAGTTAGATTGCCTGTCTTGCTTTAAAGGTTTTCTTGAAGACACATCACACTAAATCATCAAAGTCAAAGGGGAGATGTGGCGCAATAGTGTGGCAAACAGGCAAACACATTTACACGTCTAATTAAAGTACTCTACACATAGCAGCATGTAAATAGTTGGAAGTATTAGTAGTTTTCATTTTTATTGCAGCTTAAAATAATTTTAATTGATTTTATTTATTCGAAGAACACACTTATTTAAATTCAAATAGGTCCTCCGTGTTTCCCCCCCTCAAAAGTTGACATTTGTATTTAAATTTAACTGCAGTGACGTATGAAAATGAGGTTGCAATATTCGCCGAGCCTCTAGGAGGCAGCTTTTAGAAAATGGCACCCCCCAACCCATCAAACTGGACATGCTTGCACGGAAGTAGCTCTCACCTCTGCCGTTCGAAGCATTCTTTTCCCTAAAAAAATGTTTTTTTTTTCATCGCGCTTTAACTTGAAATTCATCAATAAGCCCCGAAATTTAACGGTTTTAAATGGTTCAATACCTTGATGAGAAGTGAGAAAAGTGCTCGTAATTGTTATAGCTATCTTCGTCACATCGAAAGCTGCCATCGTTTTGGACATTAACGGAGTATTTTATCATTTCTTGATCATTTTTTTTCTTATTAAAGTCAAAATGCACCGGAGAGGCGTTGGGGCTGGCGCCATCGCCAAAAAGAAGCTAGCCGAGGTAAGAAAACATTCTCTTTAATATACCCAAATGAATGAAGTGGATCAAAAATACAACTGAACTCTTATTTAGAGAGTAATTATTTTGCAGACCACTTCAGGGAGCCCACAGGCCTCTTAGTAAAAAAGTCAAAATTAAATTACATTTTTCGTTGGTAGATTTTTGATTATCTTGACATGTTCATTTTATTTTCAGGCCAAATATAAAGAGAGAGGAACTGTTCTTGCAGAGGATCAAATAGTTCAGGCAAGTATTTCCCTTTATTACTTGAAGCGTGTCCACATTACAAGTGATGCTTCTTGCTGTTGCACTTATGCTCCAACAGCAACATTTTAATTACGTTACTTCATCTCTCTGTCAGATGTCCAAGCAGCTGGACATGTTCAAGTCCCACCTGGAAGAGTTTGCCAGCAAGCACAAACAGGAAATCCGCAAGAGTTCCCAGTTCCGGGTCCAGTTTCAGGAGATGTGTGCCACTATTGGAGTTGATCCGCTTGCCTGTCAGAATCGTTCTGAAGAAAAACGTTTGAACATACTCTTTAGTGTATTTTTTTGAACAGATTGTTTTATTCACAGCCGGCAAAGGTTTCTGGTCAGAGATGCTCGGTGTGGGCGACTTCTACTATGAGCTTGGCGTGCAGATTATTGAGGTTTGCTTGGCCCTCAAGCACAGAAATGGAGGTTAGTGATAAAATAACTGCCACTTAATCAACATCACCGTGGCAACAGGAGTGAGAGGAAATGCTTGTATCTTTTCTGTCAGGACTCATCACTTTGGATGAACTCCATCATAGGGTGCTTAAGGGACGCGGTAAATACGCTCAGGATGTCAGCCAGTAAGTGTTTCCAATAGAACCATTTCTAAGTTAATGCAGCATTTTTTTTACCAAATGCTTATTGAACCGCAAAAACATAGCATGATTGTCAAGGAAGAAACATGTTACCGCAAAGAGAGGGAAGTGGACGAGAGTCGAGGACATATTAACAAAGTCAAGTCCGCACATTGCATGATTAAAGCTGTTACATTAAACTTGTGTGTGTCGCGTGTTTCCCCAGGGATGACTTGGTTCGAGCCATCAAAAAACTTAAAGTCATGGGCAATGGCTTCGGGATGATTCCGGTGGGTGGCTCCTACTTGGTGCAGTCCGTCCCAGCGGAGCTCAACATGGACCACACAGTGGTTCTGCAGCTGGCTGAAGTAAGCCGCATGCAGGAAAAAAAACATTTTATCTCTTCTCGTTCAAACCGGTTGTCTTGTCACTTATTTGTAGAAGAAGGGCTACGTGACTGTGAGTGAGATCAAGGACAGTCTCAAGTGGGAGAATGAGCGAGCGAGTCACGTCCTGGTGAGTCCATGTCAACAGTGTCCAAGGGAGAAAAATTAAGAGGAAGGGCTAGAAGATACGGCTTTCAAATTAAATCTCACAAAAACAACTCTTATTAATACACATCGTAGCAAATACACCGCTTTAGTGTTAATCTGACCTGCGTTGTCATTGCCAGGACCACCTGCTAAAGGAGGGCCTGGCCTGGCTGGACTCTCAGGCAAGTGGCGAGCCGCAGTACTGGCTGCCCGCGCTCTTCTCCGAGCTCACCTCGCGTGATGTCACGCCCGAGGAGGCCAACCAGATGAGCCCCTGACCAAACTGTGGATGGGTATTTATTAGCCCGTACTGTGACATTGCAAGGAGGGCGGCGGGGTTTAGGGCATGTGTGTCTGTACAAATTATGTCACTACCCCTAAAATCAGTCACACCCTCAATAGGTGAAAATTCATGATATTCTCAGCTACTTCTTGCTCTTACGCCGCTTCTCTTCTATTAGGCCTCAGTGTTGCCCATCCAAATCTGCGATATAGCGGGGAAACACTGTCATGTCTTCAGATTAACTTCAATGTGATCAAGAACAGTTGAGCCTTTTGTTTTTATGGCCGCACTTTATTGTCTAAAAATCATGTCTCATCATGAATAAAAATACATTTAGACTGTTGTGATCTCTTTAAGACTGTGCAAAGCTTTGGCACCGTTTAAGCTGCAATTATCGTGGCTTTACCCCCTGGAAGCAGTGATTCTCGACTGGTGGTTTAAGACCGAAAAGTAGGTCATCCAAGTGATCTTGAGGTTACAAAAGATGAATTCTCTCCTTTCATCTATTACCACTTCAAACAGCAAGGCGTAAATAGGCATTGTTGTGTGACGAAAGATGCATCGTTTGGTGCATAGCGTAAGAATACATGGTCACGGGGCAGAAGAGAGCACACTGTTACAACCGTACATGGCTGTGCATTTTTTCTAAATACATATTTGCAAGGGGCTATTTTTGAACAATAGATTTTCTTTCTTTGTTCACTTCTATACAGGAGGGTCACGACTTGGCAGCAAAGGGTTAATACAAAAAAAAAACAGTTGAGAACCACTGCCTCGATTCAAAATGCTCAAGCCCACCTTTCCGCTTTTTAACAATCATTCATTGACTTCTTTTTAGGAACACCGGGCAGGTGCTTTTCACCGTCACATCTCGTGGCTGTAGACGTGGTCTTCGAACACGTTCTGCTCCATGTCGTCGCATATGAGCGTGCAGAAGGAGCCCCAGTACTGGCTGCCCGCGCTCTTCTCCGAGCTCACCTCGCGTGATGTCACGCCCGAGGAGGCCAACCAGATGAGCCCCTGACCAAACTGTGGATGGGTATTTATTAGCCCGTACTGTGACATTGCAAGGAGGGCGGCGGGGTTTAGGGCATGTGTGTCTGTACAAATTATGTCACTACCCCTAAAATCAGTCACACCCTCAATAGGTGAAAATTCATGATATTCTCAGCTACTTCTTGCTCTTACGCCGCTTCTCTTCTATTAGGCCTCAGTGTTGCCCATCCAAATCTGCGATATAGCGGGGAAACACTGTCATGTCTTCAGATTAACTTCAATGTGATCAAGAACAGTTGAGCCTTTTGTTTTTATGGCCGCACTTTATTGTCTAAAAATCATGTCTCATCATGAATAAAAATACATTTAGACTGTTGTGATCTCTTTAAGACTGTGCAAAGCTTTGGCACCGTTTAAGCTGCAATTATCGTGGCTTTACCCCCTGGAAGCAGTGATTCTCGACTGGTGGTTTAAGACCGAAAAGTAGGTCATCCAAGTGATCTTGAGGTTACAAAAGATGAATTCTCTCCTTTCATCTATTACCACTTCAAACAGCAAGGCGTAAATAGGCATTGTTGTGTGACGAAAGATGCATCGTTTGGTGCATAGCGTAAGAATACATGGTCACGGGGCAGAAGAGAGCACACTGTTACAACCGTACATGGCTGTGCATTTTTTCTAAATACATATTTGCAAGGGGCTATTTTTGAACAATAGATTTTCTTTCTTTGTTCACTTCTATACAGGAGGGTCACGACTTGGCAGCAAAGGGTTAATACAAAAAAAAAACAGTTGAGAACCACTGCCTCGATTCAAAATGCTCAAGCCCACCTTTCCGCTTTTTAACAATCATTCATTGACTTCTTTTTAGGAACACCGGGCAGGTGCTTTTCACCGTCACATCTCGTGGCTGTAGACGTGGTCTTCGAACACGTTCTGCTCCATGTCGTCGCATATGAGCGTGCAGAAGGGACACACTTGATGATTGCGCTCATGACACTCCACCTCCGCCCGCGTGCTTCCTGGGAAGCTCTCCAGGCAATGGCGGCACATCAGGGCCGGCTGGTGGGGGTGAAAGGACACACAAAAAAAAACATACATACACACATTGGAACAGAGCATGTATGTCCGCTATTCATGTTTGTTTAATATTACGCGATTGAGTCTGAAATAGCGCAAACTTGCAAAAGGTTTATAATTGCTTCTAGATATTGCAAGATGGCAGAAAGCACTTTATGTCCAAATGAAATTCTTCAACTCATTCTCTCACTCATTCAATTCCCTGAATATTAACTGGCTGGAAATCTCACCATTCACAGTTTTGTGATCAGGCCTAAGTCATGTGTCACAAAAATACTGTATTGCTTTGTAGTCATCAGCCACCCATTTTGACCTCGGGAGGACTTGAAATTAGTGCTTTGCTGCCGTCTTGTGGCATCAATAGGTAATACGTCAGTAACTCGTGGATTTTTCCTATTTACAGCAGGGCGGGGAAACGCAACATGTCGAGACAATTTACAGTCTTGATCGAGGTTTAAGCAAGAAACACAGGCCACAAATTATGAGTCCAGAATATGACACCAGTGGTCGAGTGAGGGATGATCACATTCAAAGCACAAAATATGAGGTTGGGTTGTTTTTTTTCGCTACCTGGTCTTCCTCATCATCTTCGACAATGCTCACTGCAAAAAGCACAACAACGTCAGATGAAGATGATTGACATTGAATGGGAAATCAATCATGCTAAAGTTAAATGTGGCCATACACTGACCTACAGGTATGTTGTCATATGACAGGTCACATGTCTCCGCAGCATCCGACTGTGTTGTGGCACAGTGGGTCGTCGTGGTGGCATTCTGGTCCGCCGAGTGGGTGCTCGTACGCATTTGAAGCTCATCCAAAGTCCTGCGCAGCTCCTCAATGTCACGTGTGAGTTTCTAACGACAAAATGGACGCCACCGTGAGGACAGCAGCGGCAAAATATGCAACTTCCATTTCAGTAAAAGGTGCTGTTTACTTGGTTCTCTTGAGCAAGCTCCTGGTTGTGGCGCTTCAACATGGACGACAAGTTCTTCTCCTCCTTGATCACAGCATCCTTGTCCGCGATCACTGCGTGAGCTTCTCGGAGTTGCAGCTAGAAGACCAAAAAAAAAGAACGCATGTATAATATGAACTATAATGTACAATTACAGGAAAATTAGATGAGTGGTTAGCATGTCTGCCTGACATTTCTGCGATTTGAGTTTTGAATCCATGTTCTGGCCTTTTTTTTTTCTCCTTTCCGTACCTCAGTTTGTAGCAACAGTCCGTTGTCATCACCTGAATTTGGATCTGACTCTATGCATTCAGGAAGGTTCTGCTCCTGAAGTTCCACCTGATTGGCCATGTGGACCAACATCTCTTCCTGGAGAAAAGACACAGCAGAATGTTGACACGGTCAAAAGGTTCTATGGGCATAACGGGCAAATTAAAACCTTTAAATGTTGGATTTCTTCATGTTGCTCCTGCAAAGTGCACAGAAGACTCTCTTTGTTCTCTTTCGTCTGACGCAGTTCTGACACGAGTTCATCGTGTTTGTCCTGTGAAGCAAACAGTCAACTGGCGCCCGTCCGTCACCATCACTGACGTCGTGTTAAGACCTTCATGACGGCGGCTTCTCGTCTCTCCTCCCGCAGAGCTTTTTCCAACTCTGCGTTTTGCCGTTGGATGCGATGGGCCTCGTCCTTCAGCGACGCAATCTCCCGATCGCTCTGCTCCACTTGTTCCTGGTTCCGCACAAAATAAGCTGCTGACCCCGATGTGACTTGAACACACAACCTTCTGATCTGGAGTCAGACGTGCTACCATTGCGCCACAAGGTCCTGATGCAATGGGACAAAATTCCTAAACAAGGGCTCTCCATTTTGGAGAAGATGGAAATTTCATTTCTGTTAAAAAGTCTTGGAGGAGAGCTACGCTTGCAAGCGTCTTGTGTGGAAGAAAAGGAACCAGCAGTCTTTCAGTCACAAGATGGCGAGAAAGAACTTATTGATCCCTGACATGATTTGAAGATAAAGCCTTCTGACCGAGAGTCAGACATGCTATCATTCCCACTGACGCCACGTTTGTGTCCCAACATGTTCGCTTGTATAATGTCTGAAGCTAATCTGTGTGTGTATGTGTGTGTGTACCTGTGTGGTAATGACCAGCAGGTCGTCTGAGCTGTTTGCTGCACTTTGCTCATTGTTGACATCCTGCGCTTTGAAGCTAAAGGGTGTGCTGGCGCCGCACACTTGACCCGAGCTGTCCACGTAGCAGAACTGATAGAAGTCCAACTCATCCTTGGGCAGGTAATAATCTGTCATAAGAAATGTAATCAGTTGAATTTTTTTTTGCTCTGGGGAAAAATGTTGTTTGACTTTGGACAACATGAAGAGCTTGAATGCTGATGATAAGGAGCTCCACACAACAAAATGGATGACTCAGCAATAAAATCTAAAAGGGGTGGCCCACCTTTAAAATAAGCATGCCTCTTCGATGACTGTTCTTGGCTGGAGTCCCCGCACGACTCCACCCACACAAATGTGTGATAGTCCTTTATGGTGCTCCACCCAACCTGGAAAAATCAAAAGGAGAACACAGCTCAGTGTGCAGAAAATGCTCACAGGCTCCATAAGGTGGGGGGAAAAAAGCTTTACTCAGATATATTAGTTATCCTCTGCAAAAGTCTGTATGGCTGTATTCTCCTGCCCTCTATTGGCTATTAAGCACAGACTAGCAGGACCATTTTACTGATATGCATATATATTTTTTTTTTATCCTCTGCAAAAAAAACCCCCAACTATACTCCATCTTCAGCCAGTTGTGAAACTTCATGTTTCTGCATTGCTGCATTATACACCCCTTGTGGCTAAGGCACGTACTACAGAAAGGAGCACAATGTGGGACTGGAACGGGGTAATTGCATTTCCCTTCATTACTATAGGAAAGGATCATTTGAGATCCAAATGTAAAAACGATTGTTTGCCACGTCTCCGAAAAATAATATATTATCCACCTTAAAGATGCCCACCCAGTCGCGTGGACTGGGCTGGAAGTGTGCAGCGAGAGTGTAGCAGCAGCTGACGGAGGTGGCTGGAGGGTACGAGTGCGGGATGTCCCTGAACACCACCTGTGAGAAGCCGCTTGTGGAGTTGTGCATACTGGAATAAAATGCACGCAGTTATAAAGCTGGGGTGAGTGAAGACAGCAGGTGTCACCGAGACATAACGGTGACATGACACTTCTTTTAAAACGCTCTTTCCCCTCGTCGTCTTCTATCTTTTTGCAGTCTAGTCTGCACTTGTTTAAAACAAAAAACAAACATAAAAGTTTGCACTGAACACGCAACAACCGTATAAACAACCGCCGCCATTTAGTCACCTGTAAGATAAGGATCACGTTTGTCATAAAGCGTCACGGTGACAAATAATTGAATAACAACAAGAGCTGAGATGACGACGTAAAGCTTGGGGGAGAGGATAAAACTTACATTTTGTTGTTGTCACTGCGTCCGACGAGTGAAGTCACTCGGATCTGCAACTAATCTGGTGCGTTCACGGACCTTCGGATCAGTGTCTAGTTCTCCGTGCCAGTGGACGTTCCTCAAGCCTGTCTGTCGCTAAAAGTTAAAATACTCCACAAGAGTACTTTGTATGTTTAAAATAAATATTCGTCTGTTTATTCTCATGTATTTATTCGCAAAAGTAATATAAACACAAAATAAACATTAAAAGTTTACACTGATCCTAATCACAACTGTACTCTGAATTCAATGTGTTTCAAAGATTTGACCCAGGGGAAAAAAAACTCAAAAAATGCACTTTTGTGGTCAAGCAGTGAGAAAAAGTTGCCAGGGTATTTTTCAAATGTGGTTACAAGAGTGCTAAATTGCCGTCATTGCACTTATCAGCTACCATTTTGGTGCCATCATGAAACCTCGGAGATATACTCTTAAGAAAATATTCAGGTATTTATTGTGAGAAAGCCTCAAAACAAAAGGAAAAAGGAAACGCATATGCATCTACCTTTGTGTCTTGGAGGTGTCTTCATAGGTACAGTATTTGCATGCGTTAAATGTGTGTTTATTTCTGAACGAGTCGTGCAGAAAACACTTGGAGTTTCCGGCAGCTAAAAGTGAACTTTAACCATGAAGCCACGGGATCATCTCGCCAGATAACGTATCGGTAGAAGGCCATTTTCAAATTCAATCACAGGATAAAAGATCGAGCTAGCCAGGAGTCGAACCTAGAATCTTCTGATCCGTAGTCAGACGCGTTATCCATTGCGCCACTAGCCCGTTGTATGGTGAAGCTGCAACAAGATAATTGTATATGTAAACCAGTACGTATACCACTAGAGGGAGACAAATCCACCAAAACAAAATTACACGTTCCTTTGCACCGTTTAGTACAGTATTTATATTTTTGCTGTTACCTTGATAAAATATTCTTCAATGTATTTGTACTGTCATGTTATTATATTCTAAAAATATACAAAACAGGACGTTTTATTTCGCAACAGTACTTTTATTCATTATTTAATTTTAGTTAAATGCAATTTGTGTCTCTGCTTATTACCGCATTAATTTAGAAAAATGTTACTAGTGGACAATATGTTTGCTTTATTTTATTTTTTTTTTACATTTTAATGTAATTCATTTTTAAGAGTCACAATAATACATACAAGACAGTTAAATTAGTTAAAGATAAAAGTACGGCGTTAGTCTCATACTGTTAGTTAATGTATATTGAACATTCTTAGATTTGCAATATTGTAAAAATTGTGGAGATATTCTTTAATACAATACTTCAAATATTTTTCAAACCAACAACATAACTAACAAAATATAAAAAAGTTGTAGTACATTTCACGGTACATTTTCAATATGAGGATTGAAAAAGTAAATATATATTTGTCAGAATATACAGGGTAATTTTCAGGCGTTTCATAACCATGAAATATCAAACATCTTAAAATGAAACCATAAATAAAAGTCATAACCATCTCGGTCCAGTTCCCATAAAGGCCAGCGGGGACCAACGACCAATCAGCGAAGAGCAAGCCAACATCCAATCAGAGTGAAGAAGGCCAGCGTCTCCGTGTTGGTGATTGGCCAACAGCAAAAGCGGCAATGTGAGTGTAAACTTGGGCGACTTGTTTTCGTATTTGACTTCGTGTGAGTGTCAAGAACAGCAACGCCGCAGCCGAAATAAGCCAACGGAGCTTGTCGGTAAACACACTCCACCAGAGCAGGTTTGTGACGTTCAAAGCCTTTTTCAAGCTAGCATGGTAACTGATTTGCTGCAGAGCGGTGTCGAAAGTCAAAGCCGTCGGTCTCTATAGGGATGTTGCAGCATTTGGTTTCCATGGCAGCATGACAGCAGGGCATATACCGGTGGAGGTTCAACCTCCTTTTACTTTCGCAAAGTTTACAACCTCAATAAACAGGATACATGCGTGTGAAGTAGTTATCCTTGTGATATTTTTAGGGAACAATTCCTGCTAATGATTATCCGTCAAGTGCAGGGATGTTCAGTTTATGGTTTCGACTCGACTTCGTTGTTGATTTTAGCATGTGTCTGAAACGCTGTTAAAAAATGCATTTCATTACCCACCATGACAGTTTTCATAGTAACTTTCTCAAACTGAGGCTAGTCAAAGACGTTCCCCTGAAATGAAGATACAGTAATGGTAAATGACAACGGAAGCAACTGGACCTTTCTTGGTAAGTAATGCTGATTCTTCAGTTCAAAATCTTAACTTATTTGTCTCCTGATTCAAATTATCATAACAATACTAATCACGAAAAAAATACTGAGCGCTCCCAGTACTAATGTAATGACTGTCATTAAAATACAGTACCATAGTAGGTCTAAGTCTTTCTAAGAATACCGGCACCACTAGCGTGACAATGGTGATTGTGTTGTTTTTCAGATGTTGGTTGCCATGGCAACATGTGTGTAGTGTACCTTGAAGCTGCTCTGCTCATTTGTTCAGAGTGACTGTTTTGCATCTATGCGAGACACGTAACGTGCAAGTCATATCTTTCATTATTGTCCTGCATGTTCACAAATGTGGAATAACTTTGTATCCTCTGTCATCTCTCCATCAAGTGTGCACCAGTCAGATATTTTTATTCTGCCACCTTCAAATTGTTCAACAGATCCCAGCGATGTTCATCTGGCTCGAACTCGCCATGACAACATGACGCCTGCTTCCATTCCTCCTGGAGACGGCGGCTCAGGGCTTTATCTTGACGCAATTTGGCATCCTCTTTTGCGTTGGCTCGGCCATGCGGGCGGAGGCGAGTGACTGAAAAACATACGCGAGGGCACTCGGATGCGGAAATAAATGAATCATCTGTGAGTTTTGAAGGTAAAGCGGTAACAGAATTAATTTGGAAGATCAACGCTGAGTGCCTTTAACTCTCTCTTGCAGCAATGTATTTTAACCCTTTCAGGGACATCGGTTACGACAGTGGACATCTTATCATGTTATCTGGTTACAGGTTATCATTATTGATGCATGAAAGGGATAAATGTAATGTCCTTCATTTTTTTTTACATTTTTGGCATGGTTTAATACACACCAGCATGTACATTTTTATTTTAAAAAAATTCTCATTTTAATTCAATGTGATACGAATGGAACACATGCATTTTTCTCGCCGTGAGCATTGATGAAGGTGAAACGGTAACACAAATCCCGCCGTGTAACTAAAGCCAGCAAATGTCATCACGCAGGCTGACCGGCGCCCCAGAGAGACACTGAGGATTATCCACCTCATTCGATCCCAACACTGACACCCATCACCGAGACCTGGCCCATTTTGTACCTGTGATGCTCCCGAAGGCCCCGCCTTGCCTCCATAAATGATGCACAGTAATTACACACGTCTGTACACGTACAGTGGGATCGTATTGGAGTACAAATCACAATTCATTTGTCACACGACACTCTGAATTCAATCTAGCCTCCATTATACACTGCTGATGAACTTTTTGTCAGGTACACAACTCTGTACACACTAACAAGATCCAATACAAGAACACCGTCAGAAGAGCTATTCATTTGACAATCTTAAATCATTACATTTATCTAACTGCACGACATAATAGCGAGAGCTCGTTCCAAAATGTTTGCTACCTTACTTAGCTAAATAAGAGGTGCAGTAACAGACATTTTTAATTGAATGCGCATTATAGCTAAATGAATACTGTGCCCCTCTGACAGTGTCACATCCAAAACAAACCGGGCTCTCATCTCCTGGCATGTTGATCATCCAATATGTCACATTTGTGTGTTCAGGATGACTCTGCCACCTGGAGACGAGCAGCAGAATGAAGAACAAGCAACAAGCATCACCCAAACCCAAAGCACGTCAGGTTGCACACCGCCAAACGTCCAAAAGAGGCGGAAGAAGTCCAAGAGGAGGTAGAGGATCTCATGCCATGATCTGCCGTGCATTCGGGAGCTATTCAAACCACTTCAGAGTTTCACATTTACTGTTACAAATTCAAAATTCTCCACACACCACCTTATAATAGAAAAAAAAAGTTGTTGACAATTTTAAATACAAGTTGGTTATTTTTTGAAAAAAAAAGTTGATACATTTATTACTTCCTGGATGCATTTTTTGCATGTCTATGTCGCCGTGTGTGTCTTTGGCCCTCTTACAGATACGTGTGGGTTAACTTGACAAACTGCAAGTACGAAAGCGGTAAGAATTACAATACATCAAATAAACAATGGAACGCATCTTTTACACCCACTAAAACACAGGTTTGTATTTTGAACGTCAGTGCGGCGTGCCGCTCGGCGCTACGGCCTGAAAGTGGCGACGGACGGAGACGACTGGACCTTGATGTGGTCCGACTGCTCCGTGTCTCTGGAGAGGGTCATGGCCATGAAGCAGTACCAGGTAGTCTCGCCGGAAAAGTTCGAAATTAAAGGACCAAAGTCAAATTTGAAACATTAAATTAGCCTCCATTTGTTGCCACTTCTTTGAGACGGCATTCATCATTCAAAAAGGATTCCAGATTCATATATGAAAGGCACATACCTTGGCTCAAAAGTTTGCAATGATTTATTCATCAGCATTTTAGGCCTCATTTCGAATCCATGACATAATTTTTCAAAATTACATCCATTTTCTAGACTGCTTATCCACACAAAGCTATTGTATTGTATTGTATTGTAAAGCAGCTGGAGCCCATCCCAGCTGACTTTGGATGAAAGGCGGTGTACATCCTGGAATGGTTCCAAGCCCATCGTGACTCTCAGAATTAACTTCATTCATTCATTCATTCATTCATAAATTGTCATTTCTGATGGAATTATACCTTCTACAGTAGTTGCAGCGTCATCCATCTTTGTAACCCAGAAAAAAAGAAGCCTTTTACATGTGTGTTTGCTGCATTCCAGAAGATCAATCATTTCCCCGGGATGATCGAGATCTGCCGCAAGGACACTCTGGCCAGGAACTTGAACCGCATGTTGAAGCTCTTCCCGAAAGACTACAACATCTTTCCCAGGACGTGGTGTCTTCCCGGAGAGTGCGTTTGCTTGTTTTCTACCCCACAAAGACACCTGGAGTATTTACCCCTCCTCCATTCTCTTTTGTAGCTACTGCGACTTCCAATCATACACGCGCGTCCAAAAGCAGGCCACCTTCATCTGCAAGCCAGAATCAGGCTGTCAGGGACGGGGCATCTTCATGACAAGGTCCAGTCGAGACCTTCATCCTGGAGAACACATGATCTGTCAGCTCTATATCACCAGGGTGGGTGCTCAACACATCAGAGGTGACAGTAAGTTGCATGCACTACTTTTAACCATGCAAGTACCAAGTCCTGACTCGAGTCCAATCATCTGACTCAAGTCCCTTACCTCTCCAAGACACACATACACTTGCACACTTACACATACTCAAATTGTAAATGTTTTGAATCCAGCCTTTAATCATGGACGGCTACAAGTTCGACTTGCGTATCTACGTGCTGGTGACGTCATGTGACCCGCTCAGGATCTTCCTATTCAAGGAGGGGCTGGCCCGCTTCTGTACCACCAAGTACCTGGAACCAGCGCTCAGCAACATGGTGAGGACCGGAGTTCTAAACTCGATCACTCATTCCATGACGAGAGTGACTGAAGTGCTTTTGGTATTACCACAGCATTGGAAATACGGTTTGGTAACCTTCAATTTCTCTCATTAGGACGAGGTGTGCATGCATCTGACCAACTACTCCATCAACAAGCACCAGGACAACTTCATCCATGATGACCACACTGGCAGCAAACGGTGCTTTGCCATTATAACGGGAGGGTAAAACAAGCAAGAAAAGTTCTCACCGGGGCTGTTCGGGTTCCTCCAGGAAGCTGTCTACGCTCATCCGGCAGCTGGAGGCGGAGCGCGCCGACGCGGCGAAACTATGGGACGACATCGAGGACATAATCATCAAGACGCTGATCGCCGTGCAGCCAATCCTCAAGCACAACTACCACGCGTGCTTCCCACACCACGCCGCCACCAGCGCCTGCTTCGAGATCCTCGGCTTCGACGTCCTGCTGGATGAGCGCATGCGGCCCTGGCTGCTCGAGGTACCGCTGAAACCTTGAGAGTGTACCGCACTAACCATGGACCAGAGGATGCGAAGTAGACAGTTGTCGCAGGAGATTCAATTACATTTAAAATTCTAGACTCAAAGGTAAAAGGCTTTAAGACCATCTCCAACCAGCTCGATGTTGCACATACAGTTGCACGTATTCAGAAATTTAAAGACCTTGGAACTGTCGCCAACGTTGCTGAAGGACAACCGGGATAAACAGCAAGGAACCGCTAATTTGTGTGACGTTGACAGGTGAACCACTCACCGAGTTTCACCACCGACTCGCCACTGGACCGCGAGGTGAAGGACGCCCTGCTGCTGGACACGCTGCTGCTCATCAACTTGAACGCCTGCAACAGGAGCAGAATCATCAAGGAGGAGCGCAGGTGCTCCAAGGAACGTCTGCAGGCGAGCCAGTCCAGAGCGGCAAGGTTTGACTCACGTTGCATGCCCATGTTTTGTTTGTTTGCATACTCCGAGATCACATATGGTGACCAAAAGATATGTTATGCTCACATTTTCATAGTTCAACTGCACGTTTTAAAATGGCCCTTTCATGGCGGGCAGACTAAAGCAAAATAGCATGGCGACCGAAGTCCGACTCGAGTCCACAAGCTTCTGCTTTGTGTTTGATCTCGAAGGTCCGAGGAGCTGCACAAGTGCAAGGCGGCCTCGGCCCAGCAGATGGAGAGATACGAGAGCAAACATCAGGGAGGCTTTAGGAGGATCTTCCCCAGGGAAGGAGCAGACATGTACGACAAGTTCTTCATGCAGGGAAGTTCGCTTGTGCCGACCACGGAAGCTTCGAGAGCCCGACAGGAGTGCGGCAGGTACGTCTGAACACCAGCCAGCTGCAGGGATGTCTCATATGGCCTTACAATAAAATCTCTGGATTTTTCCCCCAAAATTACATTTCTGATTTTAATAGATTTTTTTTTCCACCTTCGCACATAGTAAAAGCAAAAAAAAAAAAATGTTTGTTTTATTCCTCGGCTGAGATTTGCTTCATTTTGACTGTTCTCCAGCAGGCATTTTGCATTCGTTTACAGATGTTGTTGTTTTTTTTTTTTAATTGATTGATTTATTATAATGAAAGACTAGTAAAAGAAACTTTCTTTCATTGAGTACACTTTCAACGTTCTAAAAGATATGCATAATTTATAATTGGTTAATTGGGAATTGGTTGATTATGGATAGTTTAATTAATCATACAGATTTAGAACGTTTAAGATTAAAATCCTACACAGCCGGTTAAAAATATTAATCATAAAAATAACTGAACATGTTCCAAATAAAATAAGAACTGTTGGGGTGTTTTTGTTTGTGACCAAACAGGTGTGCCACTGCAGGAGGAGCCCTACAGTGCCACCTGTTGGTCACAAACAAAAACACCCTAACAAGAACATGAGAATGAATCGTTATAAACTATTTTATGAATAGATACATACTTGGTTGAGTCTGATTAAATTCTTTAAATATAAAAAACTGCAAGGAGTTTGTATATTTTTTTAAATATCGACTCATTCATTACGAATAATTAAATTATAAAAAATTGAATTTATTACAAAACCAAAACGGCATGACACTCACGTTTACAAATGAAAATAAAAAATGGTTGGCCCAGCCTTCCGTTTGCAACTTCAGAACATAGCGCAACAAAAAAACATATCATCTTCTTTATTGTATCATAATTGAAATTTTGTCCGAGTTGAGCTAAATGATGACTTTGCCGTCGATGCACAGGCAACTACGACAGGAGCTGCTTGACAGGCAGAGGACCGTGACCTTCGCCCGGCATCGGGACTCTCAGGGCGAAACGGCAGGGGAGCGGCCCAAACGGCCCAAACCTCGAGCGGCACCGCGCAGGCCCGCCGCCACCTACCCGGTAAGACTGCGAAGTCGCCGCAAGAGGGCGTCCACGCGCTCTTTTGTCCCAGGATAAATTGCTGGCCTTCTCTTTGACCCCACTGGCAGCATTCAAATGAGCCAGATGATGCTCGCACACTTTTAGTGCCGCCGCATGCAAATGTACAGAGCCCCAGACATGACATGTGGGGTGGGGGGCGGGATTTAATTGTGGCCACACTACAGAAATAACATCTGCAAAAAAAAATGATAATGTGAGGCCGTCAAACACTAATTTGGAATAATATGATCATTCCTGGAGTGTACCGTCTTTAGAAAAGGTCAAGTTTCTTGCAAAATGTGAGTTCCGTTTGTACCAAGTGGTTTTTTTGGGGGGGGAATGAAAATAAAGCCAGAAATGAGTATTTTGTGCACGTTACACCTATTTCATGGCAACAAATTTATATTTTGTGTTTACATGTTAGTATTTTGTGGCCACAAGTTAGTATTTTGTGCACATGTGATATGATTTTCTTGGCCGCCAATTCGTATCTTGCATGCAAATTATGGCTTTTTTTGTGACCTCAAATTGAAATGTCTTTGCCTGAATTTTGTAATTTATGTGCACACACATATTTAGTGGCAACAAATTATTATTTCCTGCTCACGTTACACCTATTTTGCTGCCACAAATTAAGCAAATGGAATCCACCTAATCCAAAGATGCGTGCCATTTGTTTACCCTGACGTGCAAATTGTTCATCCACAAATCAGCCTTTTGTGATCACAAATCACTATTTTTGTGTGCGGGTTGCGCCTTTTTTTTGGCCAAAATTTGCACATTAGGGCCACAATTTAGTGTTTCATCGGTCACAAATTAGTATTTGGTGCACACGTTACACCTATGTCAAGGCTAAAATAAGCATATCCTGGCCACGATTTAGTATTTCGTGGTCACAAATTAGTATTTTGTTGCAATAAATTTGCTTTTTATTTTGGGCAGGTTATATCTATTTTGTCACAAAAACAAGTGACATCGTTCTGCGGGGGTTATTGATAATACATGTGCAGGTCACCCTATCAAAAAAAATTTTTTTTTTTTTTTTCCCTCCTGGAGCCTCCTGCTGCAATCAAAACCTGTGAGGTGGAAGAGGAGAATGATGAAGAGGAAGAAGAGGAACGGGTCAAGGCGCTGATCCAGAGGAAGAAGCTGCTGCTGGACCTGGGCCTGGTCCAGCACATCCGCCAGCTGCTGCAGCTGGAGGGCCGCAACGCCAACAATCCCAGCCAGCACGGGCCGCGGGTCACGAAGCAAAATTTAGCGGTGACTTGCTTGTCTGTGAACACCTCGTCCAAACATCAACGTTGACTAACCTTGACTTTTCGCTGCAGCTGGACGCTTCGACGCCGCTTCCCTCAAAGGCCAAGGCATCGTCCTGCATTCTGACATCCAGGCAGGTATGTGACTGACACAAAGAATCAACAACAGTAATTAGATTGGACACTTATTATTATCATTTAAATGCAGGGAAAAAAAGGAGACATTATTCTGTGCATGCTCTCACAGACACACACACACACACACACACACACACACACACACACACACAATTTTTCGAGGGTTTTTAGAATCTCATGGCAGGCCCACTGGTGTAAGTTCCCCACCCACCCCATAAATCTGTGACATAGCGCCACCTGCGGTTTTGGCGGAGACTTCGGAGCTTGCAAATGTTTTTCTTTATTTGAGCAGAGGGTTTTCTGATCTTGGAGGAGGTGGAACGTTTGTATTTGGAAAGATGTGTGCATGCGGGCAAGATTTACGGTCTCAACTCAAGTGGAACTTGAAATGTATGTTTTCCTGTCAAAGAAAATAATAATTTCACAGATGTTTCTTGTCTTGGATCACATGTTTTGATATGACTGATCCACCAGCGATACAAAAAAAGCCTTTGTTTTTCTCTTTGCATTTCATATTTCCCTTGGGCTGTTTTTACCAAAAATCAATTGCTTTTCAAATAGCTTGACACCAAATTGCCAAGATAAGAAATACAAAGCTTGAACATTTGCGTTGGATTCATTGTATTTTTTGTATTATTTAATTGCTGGGTTTTTTTTCCCTCCAATCCATGGCAGTATTCCAGAAAATCACGAACAACACACCTAAGAAAGCTTGTCATAAATGTTGAATCATTGCTTGTAAAACATGGTCTCTTTCCTTTCTTAATGTGCTCAGATTATATGATACAGTGGTACCTTTTTATTAGTAGTGTTTTATGATTATTATTATTATTATTATTATGTTTTGCTTTGTCTTGCGAGCCAAATGGGGAAAATGCTGAAACTAAAAAGAACTGTAATGCCCTCATCCAGCCACAGTCTTATTTACAATCCCAGCTGTTTGTTGAGCAGAACAAAAAGTAATGCACATCAATAGAAAATGAGAGCACTCACAAGGAGCAAATTCTTATTTTGTATTTTAGTCAAAAGGGTTCAGGATGAATCCGATGAGTCATTCTGATTCCAAAGTGTGTTGCATTGTGCCCCCCAAGAGCTCGTTGAGGCCTTCGAGTACCATCAAGAATTTTCACACCCCACTTGAGACAGAAGGCAGCCAAAAAGTGAAAAACAAGGAATGGACCATGAATGCTGTCAGGGTCCCTGGAGCAGGTGAGGACCTACCGGACTTTGTTTTTGTTTTTTTTTTAATTCATGCTGCAGTGAAGTCACAAGAAACTGCCTAGGAAGATTTAAAGGTGGAAAAAGGATTCATATTCTGTATCTAAGTGGGATAAAATCACAACAAAGAAATAAGAGTTTACAGAGTTCATCGTGCCTCCTTTATTTGCATCATCCCCCCAATCCGCCCCACTTAAAGATAGAAGTAAAAACAACTCAGGAAATTGTTTTGGAGCAAACTACTGAACGAACATTATTGCATCAATTTCAGTCATTTTTATATTTTAAAGTTGTTGTAAATTTAATAAGTGTTTTAACCAGCACCCCCCCCCATTCCTCCCAAATGCAAGTTGTTTATTTGCAGTGAAATACTCAAAAATACTCAAGTACAGTAACGAGGTATCTCTGTGCCCGAATATTCCATGCAGGGCCCCGCTTGCAAAACGTCAGGATCTCTGACCCACGGGCCCTCGTGAAGGGGGTCGCCAAAGGACGTTGCCCTTTAGCGCAACGCGACACGGCGAATCTGCACGCGGGCCTCCTGGTTACCTCCACGCGCCCCCCGTTGCTCCGGAGACCTAGCCTTGCCCGATGCCCCCCCACCCAGCACGGTGAGGGACCTTGAAGTGGGGGGGGGGGCGCCACCGGAGACCCAATACGGCTCATAATTTCCAACAAAGTCAAAATACACCTGAAGGAGTTTTATTTTTATGTTGCTTTTTTTCTGGGGGGGGGGGGTGCCAATTAAAACACAAACAGACCTCAGGGCATAAACCACTCACTGGGACTAGGGAAATAAATTCATATTTAATTCATATGAATTAAGGTCGTTATTGCAGAAATTGGTCTAGAAATGGCCTTTCCAAATTTGATAAACAACTAAAAAATGAATTAAATGGGGCATTGTCGTCATCATGAGGCTATTTCTAATTCAAGAAAATGTCGTCTTATATCGGAAGCACTTTCCGACTCGTGTATCATATTGCATTTTTTTCTTCCTACTCTGACCTTTTTTATTAAATGAAAATCCACGTGGTAGCATTTTGTCAGAGGCCATAAAACTTTACAACGTTTGTCAGCTGCTTTGTGTGCGCTCCGAAAACAAACAATAACAACAAAAACACGACAAATTGGCCAAAACAACACTGCAAAATACTAAAAATGTATTTTAAGTTTTTTAGAAAATGACGGCTAAATCGTCCTGTTTGAAACGAAATCGATTCTTGTGCTGCGCAAAACATTTAAGATTGCCTTTGTATTTTTACTCAGCAATTTTAAAAGAAAACGAATAAAAAGATTGCCCTCGATGAGAAAATAATTCGGGCATTCTTTAATGAAATATGTTGTAACGATAATTCCACTTGAATTAATTAGCATGCCGTTTCAGATTTGACGTCTTTATTTGCGAACATTTTGACCTTATTTCCTGGGAGTTTTAGGGGTGGGGGGGGGGGGCTTAAAAAAAGAAAGGGACACAAAGATGGAATGTGTTTCAGGAATTTATGGTTTTATTGCGTGTGTAAATTCCGGAAATCCTCTTTCATGCTGGCCCACGGCTGGAAAAGACATTTGAGGTAAATGAGAAGTCCAAAATATTGAGAATTATGAACAGAACATTTTGAAGACATCTACGGGGAATTTAATGCGAATCCAAGCAGGATGAACTTTTTGACTTTAACGGGAGAAATGAATTAAATTTGAGAACTACAAGAAAAAATATCTGGCCTGAAGAATTTGTGACTGGTGGAAATAATAGGATTTTAAGAAGCCTTAATTTTCGTTTTATTATTGTTTGGCTATACTGAATGTTTTTTTTTTTTACCTTTGCTTTGTTCAAAACCAAACCTTGATGGCCGATTCACCATCTCCTGCACGAAATGTCGAAAATAAAACAAGTGACTCTTCCGTATCTTCATTCTATATTTGAATATTATTTCCAGGCTCGGAGGAGACTGAAAATGGCGCACGTTTAAAGGGCTGCACTTTATGAAAATTTACAACTTTGCCGTTGCAAGTTTTACGACTTGTGCGGCTCGGGGATTGGCTGCCTCGGGATCATGTGCACGGCCACAATGACAACTTCTTGTTCCCCAACAGCTCCTCGTGCAGCTGCTTCTTGCTTCTTATACAACCTCGCGCTTATCGCAGCACCTTTTTTTTTTTTTTTGGGGGGGGGGGCTCTTGGGGCTAAAACGGCCCAAAACTGGAAAGGATTTGGATTTGGGCTCGGAAGTGGACTGTGTGTTTTATACTGAGGATACGTGAGGTGTCATGGCGCCCTGTGCAAACTGGGATTCTACTGGACCTTCTTGGGCAAAACTGGACACGTGTGGTGGGGGGCACACGGTGGCACGGCTGATGGATGCGGCAGTAAGGTAAGGCCCGTGCGTGTTGTGCATGTGTGGGGTGGGGTGGGGTGGGGGGGTTATTTTGTTGCTATGTGCACCAGGAAAGATGCTGCAGTGCATGTCAAAAAGCAGATATTGTGGTTGGCGGCTCGGGGATTGGCTGCCTCGGGATCATGTGCACGGCCACAATGACAACTTCTTGTTCCCCAACAGCTCCTCGTGCAGCTGCTTCTTGCTTCTTATACAACCTCGCGCTTATCGCAGCCCCTTTTTTTTTTTTTTTGGGGGGTGCGCTCGTTGGGACTAAAACGGCCCAAAACTGGAAAGGATTTGGATTTGGGCTCGGAAGTGGACTGTGTGTTTTATACTGAGGATACGTGAGGTGTCATGGCGCCCTGTGCAAACTGGGATTCTACTGGACCTTCTTGGGCAAAACTGGACACGTGTGGTGGGGGGCACACGGTGGCACGGCTGATGGATGCGGCAGTAAGGTAAGGCCCGTGCGTGTTGTGCATGTGTGGGGTGGGGTGGGGTGGGGGGGTTATTTTGTTGCTATGTGCACCAGGAAAGATGCTGCAGTGCATGTCAAAAAGCAGATATTGTGGTTAAAGGCGCGTGCACGCCTGGCCCGGGGGGGCTGCAGGTGAGGCGAGCACGCGTAGGTCCATTTTGTCGATGAGGATCGAGTTTGTGGTTGGAGAATTTTGGATGGATTTATTTTTGCTGTGAAATATGCTTGCTCTGTCTGTTGCGTTCAAAAACAATCGGGGAAAAGAAATATTCAAGAAGCTTTATTGTCGATTACATGTTGTAGAAATGCAGAGAGCAGTTCTCTAAAGATGAACGGGATGAAGTATTGAGTGTAAAAATGTGGCCTTGTAAAGTAAAAATCAAATAAAACATCCCGAAAATGTAAAGTGAGGAAAATAAGGCTTCTTGACTCATTAAAACAACAGTAAATATGAATATTTCAGTTTCAGTTTCAGTTTCAGAAAACTTTATTTATCCCCGTGGGGCAATTAGAGTATTCACAGCAGCAAAGGAGCCGCTGGAAAGGCAGCCACTCTCGCGGCGTCATCCTGAAGTCAAAATAACAAAAATAACACGACACACAGGACACAGACAGTTGTGCAATCTTCACCACTTTCCTGCATACACTTTGTTGTCTGAAGCAGTTATAGACGAAAGAGGAGAGGATCAGAGTGTATGTATATGTATATCAAACTTGATTGCTGTCGTTCTGCAGTCGCCATCTTGGCTGCTGAGGCCTGCATATAATTAACCTGAAATATTGCTTTTTTAAAAATAGTATTTGTTGTTTTGGTGTTTTTAATGCTGCCTCGTTATAATCGTTTGTGTTGTGTTTTACTAAATATTCCACACGACTCAATGGATTGATGGTGCATTCGAGATTTGCATTTTTGTTTGGAAAAATGTCTGCATCCACGATGAATTGAAGTGTAAACATCACAATATTCATTTAAGGGAGCAATTGATGATCATTGAAGCAATCTGGCCTCATCGATCAGGGTGAAAGAAAAACATCAAACCAATCATGTTGTCGCTAATGATGTCATCGATCGGCGTTCCCGTGAAAGACGCGATTGGGATGATTGGCGTGTCGAGTGATGATTTGGTGCTGATGATTTGGACGGAATTTTGGAGTTGAACGCGAGATGATGACGATGTCCTACACGCTAACGATCGTGCGTTTTCCACGCACTCGATTTGGAGGCACCCGGGACCCGGTGCGCGCAACAAGAGCCCCCCCACGGGCACAGTCGTGCACGCGCGGACGCCGGTGATTGGCCAGAGGTGGATCAGATGGTACATTTCCCCTCTGTGTTCAGTGGCACCTCACAACCACCCCCTCCTCTCAGCAAAAGGCAAATCTCCGATAAAGTAATGGCAAAAGCACTTGGACTATAAAAGACAACAAATCATTTTCCTCCGGAGTGCGCCCCGTTGTCCACCCAATGAGTTCCTATTTTGTCAACTCAACTTTCCCCGTGTCTCTGCCGGGAGGACAGGACTCTCTCCTGGGCCAGATCCCCCTCTACACGTCGGGATACAGCGACCCGCTGAGGCACTATTCCGGCGCGGCCACCTATGGAGGCGCTGCCGCCGCCGCCGCCGCCGTGCAGGACAAAGTCTACCCGGCTTCTTATTACCAGCAGACGGCCATCTACAGCCGGGCCGCCGGCGGGGCTCCGTGCGACTTCAACCCGGCGGGGGGCTTCTATAAAGACGCCGAGGGGTCGTGCGCTTTCTCCGGCCGGGACGACGCGCCACCGCCGCCGCTCTTTGGGGCTCAGGAGCACGCGCAGCGCAAAGGCGAGTGCGTGGGGGAGCAAGGCGCGGGCATGAGCGTGGACGACAAGTCCTCCGCGCTCATCTACCCGTGGATGCAGAGGATGAACGCCTGCTCGGTCGGTGAGTGGCACCCGCGCACGCACGCACGCATGCACGCACAAGCTCCCACGCGCGTGTTTGCCTTGGTTCGGCACGTTTGCTTCGCGCGCCTCAAGCTGCGCGTTGAACCACGCGCACACGCACACGGGCCTGCAAGAGCCAAACAAACAGTTGTCGTGACTCCTATGGAAGACGAAAAGTAAAAAAAAAAAAAAAAAAAAAAATGGTAGCCGGAGACGTGAAACTACCAACGCGTTAAAAATACTCTTCAAGCGTGGACTAATGCAATTCTGTCCGCTAACACACGTATACTATATGATGTCATTATTTACATGCATGCAAAATTATCTTTTTTAAAATTGATTCAGAAATAGAACGAGAGTTGCACTGATCTAGAAGTGTGTGTTTTTAAAATGGATGCAGCAGCACCAGGCATGCGCACTAATACGCCTTTTCCTGACGTTGCAAATATGCACGTAATGTTTACATTTTATATAATTGCACCTCACCATACTCGAGTGCTAAATGTTACCATTGTGAGATGATTAGATTTTTTTCTTGTTTTTATTGCCTGGTTTTGCCTTATGTTTTAACTGGAACAGTAGAAGTATCTATCACCCTTCAAAACTGCTGGGTTAAAAATAACCCTAATTTTGTTATTTTTAAAGCTATCTATCTGTCTAGCTATACAAAATGAAAAGGTTAAATAAACTTCAGCCCGGTACGCGCGCAATGCAAATCATGTATCCGCACGATCAAAACAAAAGCGTGACCCAATCGTGTGTGTGTGTGTGTGTGTGTGTGTGTGTGTGTGTGTGTGTGTGTGTGTGTGTCTGTGCGCGCGTGTGTGTGTGTGCGTGTCCCTCCGTCCGCACGCAGGCCCGTTCGGCACCAGCGGTCGCAGGGGCCGCCAGACGTACACCCGCTACCAGACGCTGGAGCTGGAGAAGGAGTTCCACTTCAACCGCTACCTGACACGCAGGCGCCGAATAGAGATCTCGCACGCGCTGTGCCTGACCGAGAGACAGATCAAAATCTGGTTCCAGAACCGCAGGATGAAGTGGAAGAAGGAGAATAAGCTGCTCAACCCGCCAAAGACGCCCGAGGAGGAGGAGGAGGAGCAGGCGGAGAAGAAGAGTTAAAAAAAAAAGGACACTCGACGTGTACAAAATATGCTGTAGATATTATTCATGTGTGGCGTACTATCTTCTAGAGCTGCTTTTAGACCTCTCTGTGTGCTCTGTCTTGGTTTAGGGACTATGCAAACATGTACAGAAATTTGTAGTGCTTTTTTGGACCATGTCGTTCCCCGTATGTACGTCGTGTTGTTGGCCTCTGTACGTGCACGTGTTGTACTTGTTCTTCCAGCCTGTACATAAAATGTCAGCTTTATCACCATCTCATTATTTATTGCTATAACGTGTTTGATGCAATATTTTGTTCAGGAAAAAAAACTGTACATAGAAATAAAAGGCCTTTTGATGTATAACGGAAAGACTGCTGTTCTTTTTTTTTTTTCATTTTAAATATTACGTATGACAAGAATAAGTGTGAGGAGTGAAACAATCGAGGTAGAGCCGCATGAGTGTCGAATCGGATGACGGATGACTCCCGAGGCCCCGTGACAAGACGGAGGCCGCTTCCCCTTCCGGCCGCGAGATGGCGCCCTCGCCCCGCGCGGCCATGCCGGTACGCGCAGCGGGGAGGCACCATTGACTGGAGCCTAACGACCATTATTTCGTCATCATTTGTAAGCGGCGAGCATGAATTACCTCTTGAAGTCATCAGTGAGGATTTACGACTGGTCAACAAAGGCACGTGATTCCCGAGCGCGCTCCCATATTTGGCGGCATACCTGGCAAAGTACAGTAGGGCTTCATTGCTTATAATTCATGATTGCGTCCATAAATCGTGCAAGCACACAAGGATTATAGCGACAAAGATCTACAAATCGAGGCTTTAAAAAAGCAAGCAAATGAGCTCGTACTTTGTAAACTCGTTCTCAGGGCGCTACCCAAATGGCTCCGACTATCAGTTACTAAATTATGGGACTAACGGCGCAGTGAGCGGCTCCTTCAGAGACCCTGGCACCATGCACTCCGGGTCCTTCGGCTACAACTACAATGGCATGGACCTAACCGTGAACCGAGCCACAAGCGGCGGAGGCGCTGGCGGAGGAGGCGGCGGCGGCGGTGGCGGCGGACACTTCGGGGATGACGCCCGGGGCTTCGGCTACCGCCAGACGCCCAATTGCTCGCTGTCGTCCCCGGAATCGGTGCAGCCTCCGCCGCCGTCGTGCGCCACCGCCGGCCGGGACCCGCGGGAAGTGAAGAGCCCCTCCCCGGCGTGCGAGCGGAGCAACACCTCGGCGGCCACCAAAAGCGCCAACAACGGCGGATTCACGGACATCGACGACCCCGCCGCCGCCGCTGCCACCGACACCGAGGACCGCGGTTCGGGCTCGGGGGCCGCTCAACGGGCGCAGGAGCCCAGCCTGGCTACCTCGTCCGCCCCCGCCGCCAACGAGTGCCACGCGCCGCAGATCTTCCCCTGGATGAGGAAGCTGCACATCAGCCACGGTAAATAAACCTGCCAGGTGTTTCTCGAGTGAATTTCCAAATCGAAATCTTATTTGATCCTCTCAGATATGACCGGACCAGACGGCAAGCGCGCCCGGACCGCGTACACCCGCTACCAGACGCTGGAGCTGGAGAAGGAGTTCCACTTCAACCGCTACTTGACGCGGCGGAGGCGAATAGAGATCGCTCACGCGTTGTGTCTTTCCGAGAGACAGATCAAAATCTGGTTCCAGAACCGCAGGATGAAGTGGAAGAAGGACAATAAGCTGAAGAGCATGAGCCTGGTGACGGGCGCAAGCGCCTTCCACAACTGAGCCAAGACCGCCGACCTCCGCCCCCGCCATGGCCAACCTCTGCAGCCGCTGCATATGGAGGTGAAAGCGTTCTAATAATTATAATAATAATAATGATAACAAAACGGAGAAAAAAAATAATTGTAACGCTTTGAAGCGCAGCACCTTGCAGCATGCTATTGTGATAGAAGACAAAAAAAGTATCTTGTGGTTCTTTTTAGTGCTAGCGTGTAGGTGTCATGTCAGATTGATGTAAATATTCATATTTGTCTCTTGGACGTGAGCTCTTTCTTGAAGTGGAGTGTTTTAAGACAAAAAAAAAGTCAGAATAATAAGAAAAAATAAAGCTGCTGCCATTTGAATGTAAACATGGGCCCATTGAGAAGGCTTGTCGTGCATCGGTTTGTTTAGTGCGGACGTGGGTGAGCGCGTGTGTGTGTGTGTGTGTGTGTGTGGGTGCGTGTGAGAGCGCGTGTGTGTGCGTGATGTCAACTTTGTTTTCTTCTCGCCAACAAGCTTTTTGTATGTGAACTCATAGCGCTTGGAAATAAAACTTTCTCTCTCACGCGTGACTTTTCTGACACTTTTTTTCCGCCTTGCTGTGTTTTATCAGATAATAATGAAATCAAAGTGACTTACCTTGTGGTGGTAAAACGTCTCCGCGCCTGTTTTCCACGATTCTATCTCGAGAAATTTCCTCAAAAGAGAAGCAGAGATTGTCTTATAAGCGAGTACAAGTAAAAAATCCCTCTTTGCAAAGATTGTAAAGGCCCTATATGACATACAACAGTCGCGGCAAAGTCACGTGAGCTCCATAAAGTTGCTTTTATGGTTTTGGGGAGTAGACAATGTTCAATATAATTCACGCGGGCTTGAATGAGAGTGACGGCTTAACGGCGTGCAGGGGACCGAGCGCGCACGGACGTTCATATATGTGGACTCGCAATGTTTCAATAAAAGTATCGAGAGGGCCTGCGTTTTTATTGCCTTTTAATCGCATCTAATTCCATTTCAGGTTACATCGCGCTTGCCTCCACATTTTACGCAGTTAAAGAGCAATTATTTGACTTTTTATTATCGGCTGACAATATTCCTTTTGCATTAAAAAAAAACACACCGCTGTAACAATTACATTTGTTTGCGTGTGTGAAGAACTTGAGAATAGTTCTGCAGTGATTGATGCCGACCAGGCGAGTCACTGGACGGCCAAAGGTGGTACACGGGCCGCATCCAAGGACGTGAAACACATCAGGCCTGTTTGTCTATTGTCTCACTTCAAGAAAGAGAAGTTCAAAACTGAAAAAAAAGTGAGCTCAACCCTGGACATTTTGCACATATTCATAACTATATTAAGTGGCAATTTGGCCTTCCTGTAACGACTATTGCATATTGATAGGGCTAATGTGGAGCCGGATGTCATGCATTATTCATGATAGCGGGATCATCCGGGGGTCAGGGGACCAAATGGGAGCTGACATGCTCTTGCACTGTCACAGTGCAGAACAATATTTACAATTATGTACTATCATAGGCAGCAAATTTGGGCAATCGCGTGCAATAGTTTCAGCCACAATTCATATGTAATATACTTAAATGTATATATATATATATATATATATATATAAACAGAAATAAAAATACTTTAGCCCTCACAAAAGCATGTAACTAATTTTAAGAAATAACAGCCTCGGCTGACAAACAAGTACCGACTTGTTTGACCATTACCATGCAATAATTAAAGATCATTATATCCTGTCAATGAGTCTTGACTGATTAATTCAAATTCTTTTCATTATGATGAGGAAACAAGTGAAATACGCGCTTAGATTTTGTTAATTGATCAGAAACGAGAGGCAAGAGGTGATGTAATGAGACCTGGCTGGCAGCAGAGGGCGCCTCAGACCGGCCTGGAGGATGATGGATGTTTTTTTTTTTTTTTTTTTTTCTGCTCGGGGTTCTTATCTTCGACAGCCAAAAGGGGAGGAAAGGTGGTGTGGGGGTCATGTAGGTTAGAGAAGCGGGGGCTTTCTTTTGTATTAACATTTGGATCCTTTTTTTCTACCCATGCAGCACCAGCAACAATTGTTGGGTCAAAAAAAAAAAAAAAAGTTCTGGGCCAGAAAGGCACCGACTCCCACTTGGGTGAGTTTGACACTTTTTTGTTGCACAAAACTTCAAAAATGGAGTGGTTTTGTACAAAAACAAAAAAAATCCAACAATAAACTGGGTCAAATTGACCCAAGTAGTGGATGGACCCGTTTTGACTCATACTTTTTGACACAGCTGTTTCTTGAGTGCACACACTTGGATGTTTTGCGAGATAATGAGCCAGTAGGAAGACACTTAACGATTTAAGTGGTCCTCTTCAGTGCTAAAGTACCTTCAGGGGTTGAGTTTTGTTCAGTGATGCACATTTTTTAATTCATTTGAAAAGGACACTGTCGGATTTGTTTTTTGAAGCACAGACATTTGCTGAAACATTGTGTGCCATATTTTTTTTTCACTTCATACATTAGTCCACACAAATGAAAAATAGGAATGGAAAATTATGACATAATTTACCTTCAGTCTGGAAAATTACAAACCAGACCATATTTCCACAGCATGAAAAACACATTCATATGAAGTGACAGAAATTCGAGAATTGATTCAATAATTTGACCTCTGACAATATCGGCCTTTCTTATGGTGGCAATGTTCCCTTATTCAAACTTCTCCACATGAATTCCAAACACCAAAGCAATTTATGTATTTTCTTTTTTTAGGACAGGATGTGTTTTCAACATTGACGAGTCCATTCATCATGATAATTTCACTTTTATGATATGTTTGGGTTTTGCAAATGTCCCATATCACAAAGCAATTGGGATCAACTGGGAAGCATCGTCTGCGTGGAATCACAGATTTCAGAATTGCCTCTAGTGCACTTGAGGCAAACATTTTCCCAATGTGCTCCCTCAAGGAGTTAATTGCGTTTAATCAACTATTCATGGTGCAATTGAATGCCTTGTAATTACAAAAATGTGTATTTAATATCAAGTTATGGTTGCTTTGAATCCAATTTTGTCTTGGTTCACGCAAGTACATCTTGTTAGCATGTAGATGTGATTTTTTTTTTTTTAAATCATGTATTGTATGAAGGCTGAGGACTGGGCGAAGACCCAAATCGGGAGAGCAATGACAATTAAAAAAAAAAAATGTTTCAAATGTTGTGCTATTTAAGGCAAGCATGCTATGTGTGCTAAGCTAACAAAGGTGAATGGTAAAACGTATCAAATACTGATGTGATTCAATAGCTACTTCATAAAGCTTCCGATTAATATTTCAATAGACTCCCATCTCAGATATTTTAAGTGTTTTTGGACTCGCTGTTTAGAAATTTCGGATGTCAACAAGTATGGAATGTAACTTGGTGTTTCTCAAAGCGTATTACGGCCTTCCTCTAGTGGTACTTTTAAGAATCACTGAATTGAATGTTTACTTTGTGTGTGTGTGTGTGTGTGTGTGTGTGTGTGTGTGTGTGTGTGTGTGTGTGTGTCCTAAACATTTTCTTAATCCAGTACACTACATTTCTCAAGTACAGTTCAGTTATATTTAACTTGTATATTGATTACATTTGCATTTAACCTATAGGGACTGTTTATTTTCAAATCTTGATGTCATTTTGGGAATTGAACTTCATTTTCTTACGTTTCCTATGTTTAAGTGGAGTTCAAACTCTTTATAATGTAACACTGTCTGGCAATAATAAAAACACCTTTTAGAACACTTGGGCCTACTATGCTACTGTAGTCTAATGTCGTCATTATGCTACTGGAGTAAAAAGTTTAAGAAGCAATGTACTTATAGAAATATATTTTCTGCGATTACATTTGAACTTTTCCGAGTTGCGTGCGCTTGATTGGCTCTCCCGAATGGCTGCCTTGCCTCCCTGTGGTCCATGAGTGCAGAAGATGGCGTGTGTGAAAGTTGCCTTGAATGAGGCCATTGTTCTGCGCATCATTTGTCACCTCCTCCATTCACGTCTGCACTCCACACGAGCAGTTGGAGTGTGGAGGGGCACACACGCACATAACGGGCGTGGACTGCCTCTCCACTATGGGCATGGATTATGCGCGTGCGCGTGCTTTCCAGTTGTGGGAAATGAGAGGAGGAAAAATAGGACAGGCATAAAGATGTGGATCTGTTTGAAGAGTCAATCAAAAAGAAGAATTTTGGGGTTGCATCTTTGAAGTACACGTGAGCATCGTTATCTTAAAATTGGAATATGTATTAAATTCTAATTTTTTGAGTATGACTGTGGGATATTATGATTATAGTCATAATATTAATGGCCAGTGTGTTCTATCAAGCTGTGTGTACGTCTGCCTACTACACACTCTCACACACACACACACACACACACACACACACACACACACACACACACACACACACACACACAAAATAATCATATGCGGGCTCACTGTAGAAAAACAAGGTAACAATTTGCATGGATCTTTTTAAATTATTACAATTTAGCCATTACTGGATTAATGCCGTTATATACTCAAATAGATGGAAAGAAAATTCATTCATCACTAAAATAATTGAGAAGTCAGCAAATTTGGGCAATCATTATAAAGTAAGTAGGAGTGTCTGGGATGAAACATGACTTGGAGAGAATATGTTTTTTTGTTTCGTCGCTATTTTCATAACGCCAACTATTCATTTTTTTCCATACATCACGTGTTTTATGGTTTGTTTGTATGCTTATGAGTGCGGTCTCAAATGAGATGACCTGAGAGCAATCGATCTAATCACTGACTCCTGGGCGGGGGGGGCCCTGCTCATTATGTGACGTCAGACCGAAGCGTTTCTCCTGTTACTGCCACGGGGGTTAAAATGCGTGTATGTTTTTTTTTTTTTTTTTTACACACTTGTCCGGTTTTTACATGACAGATGAATTATGATTAAACGGCCAGGTCACACCTCGGTGACGAAAACGACTCGTTGATGTTCGTTAAAAACCTCGACCAGCCAATCACATCCATCGACATGCACAAGGTGAAGACAAGAGTTCTAAAGTGTCCCAAATCAATGTTGCGTCACTAAAGCGCGTCCAGGTCTCTTTTCGTCGAGCGTCTGCAAATGTCCGGAAGTGTTCTCATTCTTGTTTGTATTATCGCGATTGTACAAATATCATGTTGAATGCATAGCCAGGCAAATTTTGAGCTGGGTTATGAGGTCGGCGTTAAATACGACGGCCATCAGATGATTTTAAGAGCAGTCAAGAGGACCCTGCAGTGCAGGTATAGTGCTTATCTGCCAGCCACTTAAATAGCAAAACACTCCATCTTGATGGCTCTGGCTGCTGTTTAATTTCCACAAAGAGGCCATTGAGTGTTCATTAAAATAAGAAAAAAGATCGGTCTTATCATTGTTATCACGGGCTACATTAGCTCGTTCGCATGCATGATGACCACAAACGTTTTTTTTTTTTTTTTTAATCCGCTTCTCCCGTCTCGTCATACATGCACGCGCAACACTCACGCGCAGACAGACGGAGCGCAGGGCGGTGTGTGTGATAAGGGTGCGTGTCACAAAACTGTCTACTCCGTCTGCGTGCACGCAAACATCCGCAAATGCTGAATCCCGACTCGGCCAGCAGGATATTTGAGTTTTTATCTTATGAAATAATAAGAAGTGTATCGGGTTGAGGAGAGGCGTCGTTGTTTGCACGCGCGCGCGTGGGGATGAATGGAGCTTTCCGAGGTAAGGCGGCCGCATGCAGACGCGCTGATGTGTCTTTATGATTTACGAGCCTGACTCGAGGCTGCTCGGTTCAAGCAGAGTTCATAAAGCTGCATGCCTCCACACTTCTTATCCCCCCCCTTTTTTTTTTTTTTGCTGCTGCTTCACCTCATTAAGAAGACAGTGGTGATGCATGGAAACATGTTTACATTTTTTTTCCCTTTCCACGTTGGATTTGAACAAAAGCTGCCCCGGCACAATGGGGGTCTTGTTGAAGGTTATATCATCTCGAAAAATAACACATTATTGTTACTCCATCAAAATGCGATTGCTGATATTTTGTTGATACGCAATGGAAAGAAAGGCAGAAACCAAAACGATTTCATGTTGTCGTTTTTTTAGAGTGGGTATAGGCTATATTTATTGGGATCTTGTCAAGCATTTAGTTTTCCTTAATTAAAAAAAAATCCAATGAAAGATTCATTTCAAATTATTATTACTTCGCACATTTATTGAACAGGGACAAAGCACATTGGGATCTTGTCAAGCATTTAGTTTTCCTTAATTTAAAAAAATCCAATGAAAGATTCACTTCAAATTCTTATTATTTCGCACATTTATTGAACAGGGACAAAGCAGACTGATTGACGTAAATGCGCCACAGTCAGCCAAGGGGCGATTAACCATCGTTTTCTTTGTTTTAAAATTTTTTAAAAAGCATAATAAAAAAATACTATAAAGTTATTCAACCCTTTTAAACATAAAGAACATTAACAAAAAGAAAAGTGTTTAAAAATATTAAAAATGACATGTCCTTTTTAACAAAATAAGCATGACAGGTTGGCTGATTCAAATGCGATGTTTAAATTCTATTCCATAGTGGGCCATGTCAAAAATAAACACTTGAGGGTATTATATGATATTTTGAAACGGGCATGAATAAAAACCAATATGTGCTCCTTTAAAACTGCTGGGTTGAAAACAGCCCATATTGGGTTATCTTTAAGGATTAGGCTTGAACCCATTTTGGCTTGGAAAAGGTGACATTTTAGATAACACATGCTGACTTCTTTTTAACCCAGTTGGTTCTTTTTTTTAACCCAATTAGACTTGGACTAGGTAAAAATGAAAATAATTATTGGGTCGCCCACTTTTTATCCAATTAGACAAAAGTTAGTGGAAAAGTTAACGTTTGAAATAACCCATATTGGAGTGTTCAGGTAACCCCTATTGTTTGTTTCTTTGGTTGGTTTTTGCTGGGTACACCTAGGAAAAGTAAAATGACCCATTTTGAGTTTGAACCCATGTTCTTGTTGTTGTTTAAACTCAAATTTGGGTCATTTTAAACCAGCAGTTTTAAGGTGTCACAGAAACTTTGAGCTCAGCCTGTGTTAATCTCGAGCATGCCTGTGTGCAGGCTATTCATGTCAGCGCACTATTGAGTTGATAAGATGGATCATTTGGTCTCCTCCCTGATTCTGCCTTCTTTCAGGCTCTCTCCAAAGCTGCCATGTGACATTTTGGCTGCCGGAGCCGCGTCACAAGGTCAAAGGGCCTCGCTGTGTGTGTGTCATGGAGAGCAGCCAGCAGCAAAGACAGACGCATGAGGAGCAGCAGCAGCAGCAGCAGCAGAAGCAACAGAACTTCTCACTGTGTGCTGCGTTTATGTGCAGCAAGCAGACAGTGGATCGCAAGTTTTGTGCGAGCAAAAGCATTTTCCCCTGGATGAAAGAGTCCAGGCAGGCCAAGCGCAAACTCGACAGCAGGCTGACAGGTTTGTTTCACGATCCGCAACGTAACATCAATCAATGCAATAGTTTGTTTAATACAAAGGAAATACTTCAAGTATGAGACAAATGAAATCACCATTCAGATCAATCAGTGCAACATTTAAATAGACGTCAGATCAGTAGCTAATAATAATAATATACAAGTGAAGTGTAATACAAGTCAAATATTCAAATACCAAAGCAGGATAAATGGTCACAGATAATGCAATTAAAACGGAAAAATAGATATTTTTAAATTCACAGCATCAATAAAAACTATGACACCTGAAAAATAAATATGATCATTATATATAGGCGAGATTAAAATTTTTGATAATAACACACCATTTCAGTCAGTAAAATCAGAAATTAATGTTTATTTAAAACACCCACAGCTGGATACAAAGTGCTGTCCATAAGTTAAAAAGTCAGACATATTTTTTAAAAAAAAGCAAAACAATGAATTAATAACATTAAACACAATAAAACAATGCCGAGTGGAAAGCCAATTCATAAATAACCAACAATAACGCTTTCAACAAAGCTAAAAAAAAAAACGCAGCACTCTGCAATTATGATAACGTTGTCGGTATGCTTTGGAGATTAAAAAAAAAAAAAAGTGTGTGTGGTTTGATTGTACTGTTGGTCTGGCAGACCTTGCAAGCGTCACCAGCACCACCGACTCTCCCAGCTCCAGCACGCCGGCCTGCAAGCGCACTCGCACGGCGTACACCAGCGCGCAGCTGGTGGAGCTGGAGAAGGAGTTCCACTTCAGCCGCTACTTGTGCAGGCCGCGTCGGCTCGAGATGGCCGGCCTGCTCAATTTGCAGGAGCGGCAGATCAAGATCTGGTTCCAGAATCGCCGGATGAAGCAGAAGAAGGACGAGAGGCTCCAGCAGCAGCAGCAGCAGCAGCAGCCACACGGCCTTGCCTCTGCCTCCTCCTCCTCACCTGGCTCGTCCCCCTCCGCCCCGGGTAGCCCCACTCTGTCCAGCCTCGGCTACGTGCATTTGGGCGGGGACTACCAACCGACCTCGCTCCGGCCCCAGTCCCAGCAGCAGTGGTCGGATTATCCCGCTCCGAGCACCGCGTTTGACGCGCGCCCCCGCACGCACAGCGCCGCGCATGCGCAGAGTCTAGACGAGGATTTTCAGTCATCTTATTTGTCGGCTTGCAGCCCTCCAGACAGAATCATGCACGCTCCTAAACTCACGCATTTGTAATAGTGCGTCCATATACGTGCATGCACTTTTGTTATTATTGTAAAGGCATTAGACATTTCATTCATCTAATGCAGAAGCGTAAAACTGATGTTTTTTTTGTAACGTAGAATTCCCCCTCAGAGGGCCGCAGCACTGACTCATCGCATCGTGAAGTTAACGAAGATAATTTAACGATAAAAAAAGGACTCCTGCTTGAATTTTTAAAAATGGAAGATAATTTGCAGTTTGGCTACAAATTCCAGCAGGATGCAAGAGTGAACGCCTTCTACTGGTATGTGAAAGAGTCACCAGTTCAGTTGTATTTAACTTTTTGGTAAAATACATTTGTATTCGTTTTTGGATTTATTTTGGTACAATTTCTATTTCAATTATGTGCAATACATTTTAATTGAATCACTGTTTAATTCTCTTTTCTTAACAACAAAAATACTTTTTTGGAGTAAAAGCTCTGTCACATTTTCGATGAACATTTAGGCCTACTACACTGCGGTATTGAAATGTTGGACATGGCGATCGAAGAGCAAAATATTTTTGGGTGGTATTATTTAAAAACAACCACTGAACTTAATGCATTTATTGACTTTGATATGGGCCTAATTTGTGCGTAAAAGTAAGAGGAATAAAATTCGTTTGTTTTTAATGTAGAGCACTCATTACAAGGCCCTAAAAGAAAAGTCAGCCTGTGATAAGAATACATTTGACATGTGAGAAGAGTGTCATTGTTCTTTTGAGGGTCACAGAAGCTGCCTTTTTTTTAAGAGCACATGATGGATCACTATGCGGTCTTCTGGCACAGTCAGTCAAAAAAAAAAAACAAGGCCCAACAACACATCCTTCAATTCTGCAGAGAAAAGTACAACCACGTTAAATGTTGCATTCCACTGACAGCTTCACGACCCCAAAAAGATGAACGGCTGCTTGAAAAGTATCAAGGCCACATTTAAAGACATGATTTCCACCCCCCAGTTGTTTAGAATTAGAAACGGGGACTTTAATTTGGAAGAGCGGCATTTTTTTCCAAGTCATGCACGACGGCGAGCTCATTAAGAATTTTAGAGGGGCAATTACTTGTCATTCGGCCTGCTCGACGTTTGTGTTCTTATCAGATGGATGAGCGCGTTTGATTGAAGTGTTTGTCATGCAAATGCGAGCCGCTTGATGGACGAGCGCGACGGACGTGACAGAGAAGCCGGCGGGCCGCGCCATTGGCCGGTCGCGGGTCACGTGTCGTGTCAGGAAGGTGATATGAGGGGTGGAGGGCACTTTTTACAGCTTTGACATACTACCTCCGGGGTTAGGGCGATTAATGACTTCTCTGGTGTGAGTGTCCGCGATGAATTCCTACCTCGACTACCCGCTCTGTAACCGCGGGCCGAACCTTTTCAAAGCCGGCTACCACAACCTCAACCACGGATACGTGACGCCCAACGCGGATAGTTACGGTCAGGAAGGCCACCAGAACCTTCCCTTGCACCACCACCACCACCACCAGACACACGTCAACCTGGACCTGCAGTATGCGCCACCCCCGCCGGGTAACTCGGTGTACGGGTCCCCCGTGGAGTACGGACACCACCAGTACGGCCTGCCCCCCGAGCAGGAACGGGGCTACACGCACGCACAGGTCTCGCCTCTCGGAACCAACATGCCGCCTTACACCGGGGACAGCTGCAGCAACGCCGGCGCACAGTACGTCCACTACGGCGGTGCGGAGCAAAGACCACCGGAGTACCCTCCAGAAAATGTTTACACGGCCCAGCACAAGGACGCGGATCAGGCTGAGGAAACATCTAAAACTTTCGACTGGATGAAAGTGAAGAGAAATCCTCCCAAAACAGGTGAGCTGCTCCGCGCAAAGCGATGCGTAAAAAAAAAGTTGATCCGCAAACTAATGTTTTGTCCACTTTTCATTCATTCACCCCAAAAGTTTCACGTTTTCCATTCCATCCATTTTTTTCTCTCTCTCCTTCCTCCCAGCAGCGGTTGTGTGCGAGTTCGGTGTCCCGGGCCAGCACAACGTGATCCGGACCAACTTCACCACCAAGCAGCTGACCGAGCTGGAGAAGGAGTTCCACTTCAACAAGTATTTGACTCGGGCCCGGCGGGTGGAGGTGGCCGCTAGCCTGGAGCTCAACGAAACCCAGGTGAAGATCTGGTTCCAGAACCGGCGCATGAAGCAGAAGAAGCGCGACAAGCTGGGCTGCGTCGCTGGCGGCGGCGGGCCTGCGGAGAAGCTCTCGGGGCCTGAGACCCCCACGGCACCGCCGCCGCCCCCCAAGGCCAGGCCGACAGAGTGAACTTAAAATACTCATGGAGGAGGCGACGTAACACAATGGGAGAAAAAAAAAATCAAATGCACGTGGACTTTCAGGGTATATGGCCAACTGCTAAATGTTTTTTTTTTTTGTTTCCTGCTTTTTTAAAACAAAATGTATGTTTGTGTCCAAGCACTGAGCCGCTCAGTGTCACTGATTGCACTATTTATTTGACAGGGTATTTTACAACAATTGTCCAGAGGTTTTAGATGAATAAAGTTTATGAATTTAAAATGAAACACTGAAATTCCTGTTTTACATTGTAACATTTTGGGGGGTGGTTAAAACAGTTATTTAAGTTGGGACAACTTTAAAATATAAATGATTGACATTTATGGCAACAATGGTCTAAAACAATTTGCGGAGTTATTTTTACTTGCAGCTTTAATTAAGATGGGAGGAGGTAATACAAGGGACAGCAGTTTGAAAACTATTTTCACAACTCAAGCTAAAGTTAAAATATTTCGTTGAATTTTCTCAAAATCCGTGGCCTTAAAATTTTGAGTTCACCCAACTTTTTTATTATTATTTTTAAATCGTGGTAAGTCAGGTTGGCAAAAAAATGTGGTGGTCTATATTTATTCCTCTCTTGCATAATGTGACAAGAGGAATCTTTCACAACACACGGGGTGGTTCCTGGTGACCTATTCACCTCCAAATACCTCCAGGGGCTCTAAACATGACAACAAACTGCAGGGTGCATGCGAGTCTCCATTTTTGTTACCCAAATCCTGCTGGATGGAGCTGACAGTCAAATAAATGCATTGCTGGGTTTTTAAGATCACAAAATTTGTCGGGACTAATCCATAAGATGTTATGTATTTCAACAAAACACAAGCACACACATTATACATATACATACAGGACATTCAAATGGAAGGCAAAGAAAACAAAAATGAGCTGTTTAAAATGACTAAAAGAATGTACATAGACAACATTTAAACACATTTAAAAATTAATTGATTTATTTTTCTGAATTACACATTTTTAGGGAACCTACATGACATATCAGTACTTACTTGGGCTTCCGTCGGACCTGAGCGCCTTGCCGGGTGTGATGGTGAAGGAGGGGCAGGGAGTTTCAATATTTACACTGGGTGTTGGGTTTGAGCACAAACACCCACAGGCTCATACTGGCCCAGCAGCCCGGGCCTGTCGGCGGCCTTCTTTCCTAACGCCCGAGGTTCACGCAGAGTTCAGCCACAGATGAATGTGGAGTCAATCTGTCAGGACACCGGGGTGGCTGCAGACCCTCTCTCGCACTTCACTGCTTTAGCGTTTGAGGGATCTCTCATCAAAGTTCCGCATAAACACGGAAATTAGTCACCATGTGATTTATAACAGCTGGACTTAATTAGATTTAAGGTGGAAATGAGGCAGTTGGAGGTAAAAGGACAGCATTTGACATGTCAAAAGTAGGTATGGGTTTTAGTTTTAGTTTTTTTTTTTTTTTCGTAAACTAACTAGTTAGCTAGCTAGTGTGTAAGCAGCGCCGATCAGCAACTCCCATGTTTTGAATGACGGAAGCCAAATCAATCGGCTGGGCCGCCTTATGTAAAAGTTTGGAATTCAAAATTATAAACCAGTGAAGAAAATGGAGAATTGTTCATGCATTTTTCAGTTTAAAAGCTGTTTCAGCTGAGTCGTAAAGCCAAGTACTGTGGTGGTGGGTGATAAGAGGCGAAGGGGTATCATCCATACGGGTCACGGCGGCACATTTGACAAGAAGGAAGCGACCAGCGCTGAAGACAAGTGTGGGATTTCATTCTGGAGGTGTGATCCCTGCCAGCTCGATGGATAATACCTCAACGCTCCCAGCGGGCTCTCCATCTGGATGTGTCAGAGTCAGCGCTGTGGCCGACATCTCTGAGACAGATGTTCACCTCGGGAATGGGGACGAAGAACTCGGAAGACTTGCGGTGGACAACGCAGGAAGAAGGTGAGGAGAACCCGCATGCCAACAAACAGCGAAAGCAAGTACAAGAAGAACCAGGATTGGATGATGAATTGAATTCAAATCGACATTGTAATGCAGTAGGAGGCTGCCATTTTGAAAAAAAACCAAACAAAACAAAACAAAGCCTCTGGTTCATTCTGGTTGTGGTGGTGCGACCGATGAACCAGGACGTAGCGGGGGAACACTGCACAGCATTCGATATCTGACACATCTCAAGATGACCGACACCCACCCCCCCCC